ACTATGAAGGCAGTGCTAAGAGGATAGGTTATTGCATTGAGTTCATTCATTAAAAGAATAGAAAGTCACCAAATAACCTAACATTACATCTCAAAGCCCTAGAAAAAGAAGAACAACTCAACACCAAAAGTAGTAGAAATCAGGAAATGAATTATTATAACAGCCAAAACACACCAAATCACATGAAATTAAAACAAAATCAATGAAACTAAAACAAAAATAAATTTCAAAATAATCAATGAAACAAAAATTTGGCTCTTTGAAAAATAAAACTGAAAATTCAAATTACTAAAATTTTAAAAATTTATTTATTTATTTATTTACATGAGTATTATTATTATTATTATTATTATTATTATTTTGCATTACAATTCTTAATACACCTTTATATCACAATTTACCATATCTCTGTACACAAGATATGTGACACCAAATTCACATCTTCATACATGTATTTTGTACAACCACGAGGGTCTCCTTCCACCATCCATGCAATTTCCCTTCTCCCTCCCTTTCCCTCCCACCCCTCTTCCCTATCTAGAGGTAATCTTCTTCCCATGCTCTTCCTCCCTACCCCATTTTGAGTCACCCCCCTTATATCAGAGAAGACATTTGTCATTTGATTTTTGGGGATTGGCTAACTTCACTTAGCATAATCTGCTCCAATGCCATCCATTTCCCTGCAAATGCCATGATCTTATTCTTTTTTAGTGCTGAGTAATATTCCAATTCTTGATAAAAATGGAAATATCACCATGGACACTACCAAAATACAGACAATAACCAAACATTACTTTGAAAATATATACTCTAATAAAATAGAAAATCTTGACGACATCAACAAATTTCTAGAGACATATGACCTACCCAAATTGAATCAGGAGGACATCGAAAATTTAAACAGATCAATTTTAAGCAATGAAACTGAAGATGCCATTAAAAGCCTATCAAAAAAGACAAGGACCACACAGATTCTCAGCCAAATTATACCAGATCTTCAAAGAAGAACACACACCGATCCTTCTCAAATGATTCCATGAAATAGAAAAGGAGGGAACATTTCCAAACTCTTCATTATATGAAGCTAATATCACCCAGACACCAAAACCAGACACAGAACATCAAGGAAAGAAAATTTCAGACCAATATCCCTGATGAACTTAGATGTAAAAATTCTTGATAAGATACTGACAAAGTACATAGAAAACACATATCAAAAAGACAGTGCACCATGAGTCAACTGGGGTTCATTTCAGGGATGCAAGTTTTGTTCAACATATGGAAATAAATAAATGTAATTAATCACATCAATAGAATAAAAGACAAGAATCATATGGTTATCTTAGTAGATGCAGAAAAAGCATATGACAAAATATAGCATCCATCCATGTTCAAAACACTAGAAAAACTAGAGATGGTAGGAATGTAACTTAATTTAAAAGCTTTAGATGCTAAACCCAAGGCCAACATCATTCTAGATGGAGAAAAATTGAAAGCATTCCCTCTAAAACTGGAATGAGAGTGGAATACCCTCTTTCACCACTTCTATTCAACACAGTCCTTAAACTAGTCAGTATAATTAGACAAAAGAAAGAAATTAAAGCCATATAAATAGAAGAAGAAGAGCTCAAACTATCCCTATATGCCCATGATTTCATTTTATATTTAGAAGACTCAAAAATTTCACCAGAAATCTACTAGAACTCATAAGTGAAAAAGTAAAGTATCAGGATATAAAATTAAACACTCATAAATCAATTGTGTACCTAGGTAACAATGATGAGTCAGCTGAAAGAGAAATTAGGAAAACTCTCCCATTCATAATAGCCTCAATAAATAAATAAGTAAATAAAATACTTGGGAATCAATCTAACAAAAGAGGTTAAAGACCTCTGCAATGAAAACAACAGAATGCTAAAGAAATAAATTAGAGAAGACCTTAGAAGATCTCCCATGTTTTTGGATGGGCAGAATTAACATTGTCAAAATGGCCATATTACCAAAAGCACTATACAGTTTTAATGCAATTATAATTTCAATAAGAAAAATTGAGATACTTAATATACTTTTTTTTAGAACTTGATCTTCAAAACCTTGTTTGTATTTTCCATTTAAGACCATTTTCAGAATGGATAAAGAAACTGTGGTATATATACACAATGGGATATTATTCATCATTAAAAGAGAATAAAATTATGGTATTTACAGGTAAATGGATGGAGTTGGAGAATATCATACTAAGCAAAGTAAGCCAATCCCAAAACACCAAAGGCAGATCGTTCTCCCTGATAAGTGGATGTTGATCCCTAATGGGGGGAGGGAGGGTATGGGAAAAATGGAGGAACTTGGGGCTAAGGGGAGGGAGAGGAAGGGAGGGTGAACGGGGGCAGGAATGATGGTGATGGACATTATTACCCTAGGTACATGTAGGACTGCATATATGGTGCTATGCTACATCATGTACAACCAGAGAAATGAAAAGTTGTGCTACTATTATGTACAATGAATCAAAATACATTCTGCTGTCATATATACCTAATTTAAATAAATAAATAAATAAAATGCCTCAAATTCAAGTGATCAAAATGTTGCTAGTTAATTATAATATTAAGATAGTGCAGGTCAAGTTCACATTTCTACATTTGATTATAGTCACTGCTTTTCTTTACCCATTTTTTAAACATATTCAATGCCTACTATGTGACAGGCACTATAATAGATACAGAGGTAGGATGGGAATGAGCGAAATCTGGACACTCTGTCATAAGTTTATCAATACATTATAGTGTATTTAATATCCCAATGTGTAGAGCCTTGGCAACATCCACAAATTGTAATATTTACGCTTTTAAAAATTGTTTTATTCAAACTGTCTATAATTTCATCATTAATTTTCATTAGAAGAACATTATGGAAATTTTCAAGTACATAAAAACTCATAAAAGAATTGCAAAAACAAAACAAAAAAATGCATATGCAACATTTAGTCATATCTTTAAAAATATATTTTTTAGTTAGAGGTGGACACAATATCTTTATTTTATTTTTATGTGGTGCTGAGAATTGAACCCAGTGCCTCATGCATGGTAGGCCAGCGTTCTACCTCTGAACCACAACCCCAGCCTTAGTTGGCTATCTTTCTACCAAACTTCTGATATCTCCTTTTTGCTTTTTTTTTTTTTAAAAGAACTTGTTACTGGGGATTGAATAGAGGGGTGCTTAACCACTGAGCCACAAACCCAGACCTTTTTACTTTTTGATATAAGCTCTCAGTAAGTTGCTGCAGCTGGCTTCAAACTTGTGATCCTCCTGCCTAAGCCTCCCAAGTTGCTGGTGTTACAGGTATGTGACAACATGCCTGGTCCCTATTTTGCATGAACATTTAAAGAACTTTCCAGATATCACAGTATATAGTGTATAGAAATTTCAGAATTTATTCCTACCAAAATGCATTTTGCATAATCAAATGCTATTTTCCACACCCAATGAAAACATAATTTCTTAATATTATCTACTAGTACGAATATTCCTATTTTCCCAATTGTTGTGAAAATGTCACAACCTGAAGAAGAACCATTCTTTCATTGCATTTGATATGTCTCTAAAGTTTTTTCAATATCTTAGGAGTCCTAGCTCCTTTTTCCAATATCATTTTATTGGTTGAAAAGCTGGGTTACTTCTCTTGTAGAATCACCCACATTTAGATTTGTTTCTTGTTGTGTCATGACATTTGTTATTCCATTCCCTACTTTCTCTAAACTTGGGGAGTTGGATCTTCAAGCTTAAATTAAGTTTCAATATTTTTGGTAAGATGTGTGTTTTTTATTGCATCACATTGGGAAGCACATAAGATTTTCTTGTACTACTTCTGATCAGTGGATTCAGATGCTGTCAACCTGATCTGTTCACCATAAAACTCAAGTCAACCTGTAGAACTGGTTCTATATCCATTATTATATTATATGTTACAAGATGTTATTTTCTAATAGAACTTTCTAATTCTATGATTCTCTAACAAAGAACTTTACCTTATCAAAGTCTGGTTTTCTTAAACACAGTTTATATAGGAATTACAAGCTAGATGACTTTTCTTTCTTTTCATCCATTTTCAGCATGAGCTGGTGCCCTGGCAAATTTCAGAGGTATACTACACAGATAGAAGAATAGGGATGATAAAAGGTAAAGCCAAAAGCCTTTCACATTTAGTTCTTTAACAAAGTTCCTTTCTAGAGTGAATTTCCTGTAGTTTAACTTGGTTTAATTGTGAAGAAAGGCTTCTAGTCATTAAATTAACAGATTGTTTCCTTTAAATAACTAAGTTATGAGCCTGAAGCAAAAGGGATTCCTACATTCAAAAATTTTCCTCTAAGGTTTATTTTCTAATGCTCCTTAATACTATGTTCACATATGAAGGATTCTTATAATTATTAAGTTACATTATGAATTTGCTGGTGGTAAGTAAGGTGTGAATGTTGTCTGAATGCTTTCTTACATTCTAAACGTGTAAGGTTTCTCGCCAGAATGAATTCTCTAGTGTTACATAAGCGGTGCATGAAGTCTAAAGTCCTTTCCACATTCCTGTCATAGGGTTTCTCACCAGTGTGAATACTCTGATGTTGAATAGTAAGAGCAGTCTGAAAGTCTTCTCACATTCCTTACATTTATAGTTTCTCACAAAAATAAATGCTCTGGTGTTGAGTAAGTTGTGAGAACAGCCTAAAAGACTTCCCAGATTCCTCACACTCATAAGGTTTCTCTACAATATGTGAATGCCTTAATGTGAAATAATTTCTTTTTGTTTTTAATATATATTTTTCTTAGTTATAGATGGACAAATACCTTCATTTTGTTTATTTTTATGTGGTGCTGAGAATCAAATCCAGTGCCTCATGAACTTGAAGCAAACGCTCTACCACTGAGCCACAACCCCAGGCCGTGAAATAGTTTCTGAGTAAGATGAAAGAACTTCTCACATTGCTTGCATTTGTAAGGTTTCTCACCTGTATGAATTCTCTGATGAAGAGTCAGGTGTAACCACAACTAAAGGTCTTCCCCTACTCCTTGCAATCATAGGACTTCTCACCAGTGTGAATCCTCTGATGCAGTTTAAGTTGTTGCCCCACTCTTTAGGCCTTTCTATACTCCTTGCAGTCATAGGGTTTTTCACCTGTATGAAGTTTGTGATGGATTAGAAGGCCAGTACTGCAAAGAAAAGCCTACCCGCATTCCTTACACTCACAGCACTTCTCATCAATGTTAAGTCTCTAGTGCCGAGTAAGATGTGCATACTGTTTAAAGGTCTTCCCACACTCCTTATACTCAGAAGGCTTCTCACCAGTGTGAATCTGCTGAGTAAGTTGTTCCTGCACTCTGAAGGTCTTCCCAAATCCCTTACATTCATAGGGCTTCTCACCAATATGAATTCTCTGATGTACTCGAAGGTCTGGGCTACATGTAAATATCTTTCCACACTTTTTACATTCATAGTTTGCCAGATGTATGAATTCTCTGATGTCTACTCAGGCCTTGTCTAAAGGCCTTTTCATATTCTTTGCATTCATAGGGTTTCTCACAGGTATGGATTCTCTGATGGAAAAGTAAGTTGTTGGCATACTCTAAAAGCCTTCCCACATTCCCTGCATTCAGAGTGCTTTTCTCTATATACAGTGCTTTTCTGATATACAGCAAGATATGTGAGTTTTCTGTAAAGGGTGTTTTTTTTTTTTTTGTCACTTGCCTGAAATATACTTTGTGAGGACCCTTTTTGTTCCAACATTTCATATTCAGTCTTTTCTAAAAAAGAAATAATCAAGGATCCAACTTTTAATTCTTTCCATTATTTCTCACTGAGATAAGTTCATTTCATAAATACCATTTTCTTGAAATAACTTTTTAGTGTCATATTTAGATTCCAAATCTAGGTTCCATCTTCTTTTTACATCTATCACAATCATCCAGGGCTTTTTCCCTTGTTCCAACAGAGTAATCACATCTGCTTTAGAAATGAAACATTGCAGTGCTGAATTGCTATAGTTCTTTAAAATCACATCTCCGTACAAATTCTTCTCAGAGGGGTTCAGGTATTCCCAAACCTCATGAGAAAAGACTACAATCACATCTCTGAACATCACCAAATCATAAGCCATAATTTTAGAATTTCAAGAAATGGTCAGCTTTCCTCAAGGTTCATTTACTGAAGGAGGAGAGTCCACAGAGGCCAGAGAATGCTCAGTCCTCACTGGTCCCTGAGAGCTGCCCAACCCCAGATTCCGCAACTCGCTCCTAGAGAGTGCTCAGATTGGCCCACCCTATTTAAAAATTTTGTGAGTAATCTCTATAAATGTTTTTAAGGATAATCATAACATAAATGAATTTAAAATACAATTATATAAGAAAAAGTTCTTCCTCGGTTTACTTTACGCTTACTTGAAAATATATTGTTGTACCATATATTATGCTAAGATGTTGTCACTGCTGCTAATTTGCCAGATAAATATGAGTAAGATGAATGAAATTCATTAAAAGCAAAATGTACATAGGTAGTTTGAGGCTATAAAGTTAGTACATGAACATATCTATTTTGTATAAATTTTAGATGATTTGATATACACATATGCTACTAAGGACCTTTTATTTTTATCTATTTTTAAACTTACACATAAATGCATAAAATTCATACAAATTGTTAGAATAGTGTGATGATTTTATACATGTATACATTGTGTAATGCTTAAATCAGATTAAACATATTTATATCCTCAAACATTTATCATTACTTTTTGGTAAAAATTTTTTAAAATAATTTCTTCTAGCTTTTTGAAATGTATAGTTTATTATTGTTATCTATGTGCAATAACACCAGAATTTGTAATTTGAAAAAGAATTATCACACAAAAAGATGAAACCTGAATATTGCTAAAAATTTTAAGACAAAATAAATAGTATAAGTGGTAATGTTTAATTTTTACAAATACATGTAATAAAGGTAGAGTAAGAATTAGAATTATTCCAAGTTATTAAAAAAAACTTTATCAGTGTTTGGTAGCTTATACTTTTTTTCATTTTGCTAGTAAGTATAAAGTTTCAACAATAAATATTAACTTTAAAAATAATAATGTATAATTTCAACTGAGTTATAATTATTTTTCAAAACTGGTCTTTAGGGTGACTAAGTCTGGGATATTTATGGGACATAATGTAGCTGAAAAACATACTTGCATGACACCTTCTCCTTATAATAGCTCATCTCATGAAATCCTCCCTGAGGTTGGATATAAAATAATTTCATGAATTACGTTTGAAGGAGAAATGGAAATGGGATAGTGGGAATAGAGAGGAAGCTGAAGTCAATTCTAAGTCTCAAAATTAATACTATATATTCCCATGATATAAGAAATCACTCTTGATGAAATGTTTCCTTCCATTTTGAATCATTTAAGTTGAGAAAGATTATCAGTATGTTTGAATCCCAGCTACCATCATTAATAGTTTAACTTGAAAAAGAAAGAAAGAAATTTAATGTCAGCAATTGAAATATGAGAATAATCTATAATCACTTTTCTTACTAAGGAGAGGTGTTTGTATCTGCAAAATTAATATGCTAAAGTTCTATTTCTAAGATGATGGCATTAGGAGAAGTAGCCTTTGGGGTAAAGATTAAGTCTTGAGTATACTAGTGTCCTTACAAAAGAGGATTCAGAGAGCTTCTTTTCCCCTTCTACTCTGAAGACATATGGAAAAGATGCCAAGAGACCAGGAAAATACTTCACCAGATCCTGAGTCTGCTGGTGCCTTGATTTGGACTTATTCGCCTCCTAAATTGAGAAAAATATATTTTTGTCACTTATAGATGCTTAGGGGTATTTTGCTAAATCATCTCAAATGGACTGATTGAAACAAGAGAAAGGGAAGGGAAAGTTTCTTTTAGTCAATAATATGCCACATCCAGGAATAAAGAATATTTTAAACATTTTTAAAGTCTACATCATTAAGTAGCTATTTTTTCAAGAAATTAATAAGAACATAATGACTCTAAATACTACTACAATGAAAACTATTACTGCTGCCTTAAAATGCTATTGTTTATTTTGATATTCCCATAATTTGAAGATACATTGATAAATGTAGCTTACAAAAGCATATGTGTACACACACACACTCATACACACACACTTTAACAATTATAAGTAACTTATATATAAAATTTTGATAATTCAAAAGAAAAACATTTAGAGATTGGTTATTTCATCTGTAGGCTACTCAATACTTCCTTATACTAGGAAACTTGTTTGTTAATCTTACTACACAAATATGAGGTTGGACGTGAACAAATGCAGTGGCCTAGTAATTTATTTTCCAAAGACGGTGCATGGAGAGTTGGAAGAGAACAAAAAGCAGTATAAGCTTTACATCAAAATCAAATGACCAATAATCCGAAAATAATGGCAGAGTTCTTGCTCAGTAATGCAGCATAGCAAGGATATGATAAAGAATAATTTATGTTCCAGTCAAAATAAAAAAAAATATTTTGGAATAATTTGGTAAAAGGCTTGAGATTGAAAGAACTAGGAAACAATACATTAAGAGTTCTTTCTAACATTGATTTTTAAATAGAAATTAAATTACTTTAGTAACAAGAGATTAGTGGAAACAATAAGTATCACTATGCAAAAAATGAACTATTCAGGAGGGTTACAATATAATGGAAAAGCAGAAATATCATATAAGCCACCATTAGTTATGACTAAACTTTTAGCCTTTATCATTTAAGTAATCTATAAAAACAAGTATGACAATTTCCCCTATTTCAGCCCTGCTGTCTTTAGTTTATAAGGGCCTAGCGCTAGTACAACTTTCATTTTCCTAGGATAAGGTTTCCATCTGGTGACAATGGCTGGTAACTACAGAAAATGGGAATGTGCTTTATGTACACAAACACCTGTTGGCGTTCTCAAATTTTAAGTCATTTTTTAATTAATTTGAAAAATATTTATAGAGTTCCTATTATAAGCAGAAATTTGGAGATTCAATTATGGAAAATTAATGTTATACTAAAATTCTAGTGAAAAAGAATGGTTTTAGTCAAATAATTACCAATTAAATATAAAAACAATAAATATAACTTCTATAGAACTTTTATGACACAGAATATCTGCCATACTAATCCACTTACTACCACCCTAAGCTTATTAGGCTGGATACTATCTCCAATTTACAGATTTGAAAATTATGGCAGAGTGGTTAAGTAACTTCCTTTATATATACAGTAGAATATGAATATAAACCCCGGTTGTATGAATCCCCAAATTTGTTCTTTTAGTCATCTCTAAATGAAAAATTGAAAGACTGATAAATGACAAGATAAACAAATGATGAGACAACCTTCATTATTTATTCATCTGTTTATCCATTCAATAAATATTGAGTATCTACAATGTGCCAAGTACTACTTTTGGCCTGAGGATAAAGTAGCAAACATGATAAAGACTAGCCTAATGGAGCTTATGTCTTAAACATGCACATACACAGGCATTAGCATGTACTTTCTAGGCTATTATAGTACAAGAAATTAATAAGGCAGGATAAGTGATTAGGGATGGGTACATGAGGAAGGCACTGTTTGCAGAGTAGTCATGGAAATCCTCTGTAAGGAAAAGACATCTGAAAAAGGTTGAAAAATATGAGCATCTGGAAGCAGAATACCAGAAAGACAGTGAATGCAAAGGCATCAGGAGGGATTCCAGTTAATCGTGCATCTCCACCTCCACTGCAGAAAGAGTGACTAAATGACTAAATCTAATGAAGCAGCATAGTAGGATAGGAGATTTTAGAAGTGCTTAGAAAGACTTCATAGGACAAGATAAGTTCTTTAATTGGTACTGCAACATTCCAGATAAAGGATAAAGATTAAATTGAATAAACAAAATAAATTTACAAATGATTATATGGGAAACTGTGTAATAACAAAACATATAGGATATCAAAGGAAAGACCACATTTAAATAAGGATTAAGAAAATCATAACCTAGAGGGTGGCATATGCAGCATATATGAGCATATAGAAATAAAAATGGATCTTTAAAAAGAAGGAAATAGTTCAATTTCCCTGCAGCATGAGGTGAATATAAGAGTAAAATATAAATTAAGGCCAATAGAAGCACTCAAAGGATTAGGGAGATAAAATTAATCCCTCCTTTATTTTTTATTTCTTCTCTTGGCCTTATATAGCTTCCAGGAGAGTACTGTTAACAACTCAAGTTATGTACTGGTTTCCATCTAATATGGTACTGTACATGTCATTTTAATGTCTTGGAGAGTGCCAGGCACAGAAAATGTTCAAAATTTACTCTTTAATCTTCTTATAGACCACCAGACAATAACAGATCCATGGATTGACAAAGTTAGGTTTATTAATTTGATATAGTAAGAGAGTCTGCACATTAGAGTAATGATGGGGCATTTTGCAAAAACAAAGGAAGGAAAATCCAGTGTTCTTATGGTTTGAGAGTAAGGTACAAATGAAATTTAAACGAATAGTTCTCTGATAGGTTAAAAGCAAAGGAGGGTTGTGTTAGGAAGAGGCCAGGACTGAAAAGTGAGCATAGGGTACTGTTTTCTCAAAACTACAGAAATGAATGTCAACTCTTGATCTGAAAACACATTACCTGAAGCTTTGATTTGAGAAAGAAACAGGAAACTACTCTGTGTCATAGTGCTTACATAGTTCAGCTTCCCAGTAATGGTGAAAAGTTCCCATCTCATTAATATTTTTAAAATGAGGTTTCTGATAATCTATGGATTTAGAGAATTAAGTTTTTCAGTGTTGTCACTGTAATTAATTAACAAAAGAATTTTTGTAGCTTTATATATTGTAGCTTTTCAATATATTTGAATTATTAAAGCATGATTTTAAAACATCAGTTTTGCTGTGAAGCAGGAGCATGACTATCTTGGGAATGAATGAGGAAGAAAGCAAAGGAACTTAGGTAAATTGGGGACAAACCATTTGTTCAGACCACTTGTAGGCTAGTACTAAGAGACTGGAGCTTTCCTGGAAACTGATAGGCCAGAAATATCACTTAAAGAGACACTTGGACTCACTCTATGTGACCCCACCCAAGGAATCTATCTGCTGGGATGAATGACTGCAAGTAGATGGAAGCAAGAACTAACACAGAATCATAGGTGTCAATCAGAAAGTTCATCACTGATATCATGAAACTACATGGCATAAATTCTTCAGGTCCCTCTTAAGGGACCTATATATTTAGTTCCCATCAATAGCCAAGAGAGAATTGACTCCCTATGCCCAGAGAATCTTGAAGCAGAAAGAGAAGGTGAAGGAACAGAGAAAGCAAGGGCTATATCTCCTACCCTGCTGCAGTCCCTGAGATCAAAGGACATAATCCTAGAAGTAAGATTAGTATTTGTAATTGGATTAAAAGTGAATTCTAAGTAGTGAATTGTTTTAAAAATCAAATGAATAGGAAAGCTAGGGAATATTATAAGGAAGAGAGATCCACTAGAGCATGTTTGAAGCTGTAAAATAAAGTTTTTGTTTCTTCATTTTTTTGGTAGCCCACTAGGTTCAAGTAATTTAACCATTCAGTAAATTAGTGACATACAGGTGCCTTTACTTCAATGAGATGCATTTTAAAACGATGCTGAAACAAAAAGCATATAAGTACATTTTATCTGAATAAATAAATATTCAGTTGCTTTTCCAAAAGACTGTGACAAAAATTTGCCCACATATGCACAGCAATATTTGATTGACTATACCAAATATTTTCCAGTTTGATAGTTATAAACTAATATATTCCTATGGAATGGAATCAGTATTCACTTTACTATTGGTGAGGCCAATCATCTTCTCATCTAATAATGGCTCATTTATAATTCTCTTTTGGAAAATTACCTGCTTATATCCTTTACATGCTTACCCATTAATTCTTTTCCAAAATGTTTTAGTGACCTATATTTTCTGACACTTTATCACTTGTTTATATATTTTTTTATATTGAGAGGGTGGTCTAGCTTTATAGTTTCACAGAAAGGTTATTTATTATACCATTTATTGGCAGAAGAATTGTCTTTGAATGTTTAATATATTTCAATTTTTTGATTGAACAATAAACACTTAAATGTATAAGCATATATGCAGGTAAATATCCATTCAGGTTGCACGTTTTTAAAATTCTGTATGCTAATCAAATCAACCCCTAATTACAAATGGACTTAAGCAAATATTCTAGAACAGGGTGCTACTTCCCTACCTTTTATGGATTCTATGTCCAAATACCAGAAATAAGCAAGTCACATTATATTATAAGAGGTTGATTTTCCTTGTAGTAGCCAAAATTTCAGGAAAATAATACTTTTGTTCATCTGGAATTTAAAGGTAAAGAATAAATCTGTAAATAACTATGAGTGAAATTCACACACAATCATCTATAAAAAATAACACAGCATAATAATGAATATTACATTTATCATAATTTTACGAAGAAATCTTTAGCCTTGTTTCTTAAAATCATCATACAAATCAATGAATATATAATACCTGATTGCCAGCAGAATGTATTTTATTTCTTGTGAGTTATATTAATTTACATGCTTTAACATTCAATGATCATCAAACTATTTGTAAGATTCTGTGTCAATGATGGGAGAATGGGGATATAAATTTATCAATTCCTGCCTTCAAGGAGCTTACCATTGATAACAAAATCATTTTTATACATGTAACTATAATAAAGCCTAGACTTCTATGCTAGATGTAAAAAGTACTGCAAAAACCAAGATGAAGATATTGTGCTTTGGGAAAAAGGAAAACTCTTTGATGGTGGTTATTTTGAATCAAGTTACTAAATTTTGAGATAGCAATAAAAAACTAAAAGTTTGAAATATATGATCTCTAAGGCTGGGGTTGTGGCTCAGTGGTAGAGCACTTACCTAGCATTTGTGAAGCACTGGGTTCATTCTCAGCACCACATATATAAATAAATTAGTAAATAAAGTAAAGGTCCATTGACATTTAAAAAATATTTTTAAAAATCTGATCTCTGGTCTTTTAGCCCCTGTAATATAGAGAAGACAATGGAAGAGGTAGGGAGGGTGTTGGCTGACTGTAGACAATTTAATGAGGTCATATTTAAACGACTGAAAGAAGGAAGCTAATCAAGTAAATAATTCTGAGAAAGGATTCCTGAGTGAACAACAACCACAAAGATCTGAGCTGTGGGTCTGAAGAGCATAAGAGCCAGGTCATTGGTGGTCCACAGCAGTGTAAAGGAGGTAGAGAATAGATATCAAAAAAGTAATTTGCTGGTGAGCCAGATCATGTCAGTTCTTATAGAACAAAGAAAGAGCTTCATCTTTTTCTCTGAAAAAAAGCCAGTAGAGAATTTTGAGGATTTAACAAAATCATTCTGGTCTCTGTGATAAAAATATTTTGGGGAGCTTCTTTTTAATCATAATAAATAGGCTTTGCCATTGTAAAAATAAATACTAAACTATCAATGTAGTTAACATAAAAATCTTATTTTCTACTTATGCAAACTTGAGTGGGAGTCAAGCAATTCTGCAGGGCAGTTGGCCAGTTGTCACTTACACACTGACTTGTTATTCTTGGCAATATTTACCTTGTAGTTCTACCATCTAAACGTGTCCTCCACACACACACACACACACACACACAAAAGCTTCCATTGGTTTACCCCAACACACACCTACAAAACAACAAAAAACAAAAAAAAAACATTGGTTACCAATTTTTCTTCAGATAATCAAGTTTCTTACCAAACGCTTAAGGCTATCTCTGACTACTGAAAATTTGGGGATGAATTTTTCTCCCCAATCAGTGCTCCAGGAGAACAGAACTGACAGCATAACTTTGATGTTATTGTTACATCTGCTACATCTCTCACAAGCACCTGTATAGCAAATAAAAAACCCAGGAAGAGGCATTCCAGTTCTCTACACTGTAGCAGCTGCACCTAGGGTGGTGCACCTGGGGGGCTGGATTTCTGACCTTCATTGTATTTACATTATAGGCAGAGTACTGGATCAGAGTGTGGACTTGGAGTCAGACTACCAAGGATCAAATCCCACCTCGTGTATTAGCTGTTACAATCCCTTTTTACTTCAGTGTCCTCAAAAAAAGGGGGGAAGAGTACCCACATTATGTGTGTGTGTGGGGGGGGGGGGGGTTGAATGTGTGCTTGAGCATGTTTGGTTATTAGGATATCTCTTCCTAGAAGCTGATAATTCTCTGAAATGAAATGAACACTGGCAGGCTGTATGCTCCTGCTAATGCAAGGAAATACTTTCTGTCCCTTACATGGAGTTCTCCTATTTACACAGACACTAAGTGTCTACAGATCTGACTACAGAACCGGCTACCTCTGGGTTTTACAATCCCAAAGTGTAAGGACACACCCCATATTTCTGCAGAGTTAGCCTCCTCCAGAGCCTGTCACGGTCACTTCCTCAAGGCTGGGATTAAGAGCCCAGAGAGCAAAGGCTCCACACACGCGCAGCGGGGAGTCCTTCTGCCCTTTCGTGTACACACGTACTTTTATTTACGTGATTCGGGGATGTTTGTTTCTCCTTTAATTATGACTTTTTAAAAGAATCCTTCTGTTTCTCAGGGCCAGTTTTTGTTTATAGTACCTTCGACAGCTACCTGGCATTTAAAACCTCTTACTTTACCTTCGCCTTAGCACCTCCTACTTCGGTTTGTGGGAAGTATCACCGCCAAGGGCCCGCGCGACGGTGGCTCATTATCGCGAGAAGGAGACAACCTCTCGCGGTGTTTCCTTGTTTCCAGAATCCTTAGCGCGAAGCGGAAAAGATACTCATTTTATCTCAGGTTCTGTTGATGCTGCAGTTTTGACGGAGGCTTCTTCCGTGTGTTTCTTCTGCTTTTTCTCCAAGGGAAATGGCGGCCCCCGAGCAGCCAATGCCCATACCGAGAGGATGCCCAAGCTCCACGTCGCTCTCCCCGCCCCGGGGCGACAGAACCCTTCTAGTGAGGCATTTGCCGGCAGAGCTGACCGCGGAGGAAAAAGAGGACTTGCTGAAATACTTCGGGGCGCAGTCGGTGCGCGTTCTGTCAGATAAGGGGCGACTGGTAAGGATGCACTCCGCCGATTCTTCCCGGAAGGCCCTTGAGTAGTGATTCGAAACGTGGAATGCCAAAAAGAAAGGATACCGGGACCAAGAGTGAAGGGGCGCTCTTGTCGTGGGAGAGTCCGGGTCTTTCCTCTTAAGTCAGACTACTTTGCGCTAGAAGTGAAGCTTTAATTAGCTCCAGTCTCAGTAATCACATCGCTGCGGAAAAGGCAAAAGAGAAAGGCAAAGTAGACGAATGGGTAAAATAGTATATTAACACTTAAAAATTCCTACGCAGGAATTCATACACTTTTTTTATTAATATATTAGAAGTGTCTTTAATGGTTATTTCTTCACTTCAATATTAGTGGGGACGTTAAGTTTGCAAGATGACCCACAATAAAGCAAGATATCAGTTGTTTTATTAAAGTTTTCTTCTTAGATGATTCTAATGTGCAGCCAAGGTTGAGAATCTGTAAGTTAAAAACCAGTTTTGATCAGTCTTAAGTGTCATGTATGCCAACAAATACAAATAAAAATGCGCCTTTTGTTCAGTTTAAATACATTCAGGTCATCTTGTTTCAGATTAGGCGAAATTAATAAGTGATATTAATTACCCAAGCAATTTCTTGTAATAAACATTGACAACTTATCCCTAATATGATAATTAGTTTACTTTTGGCTTTTTTGTTTGTTTGTTTTTGGTAATTTAAAAAGTATTTTCAACATGTACTTAAAAGTAGAATTCTTCCATTGAAACTTGTTACAAAAATAAAGCTCAAATGAAACATACATATTGAAAAATGATTTCTGCATTTTGTGAATACTTTTGAATTTTGCCTCAGACTGTATAGATTAAATTATAAGATCTCTGGATTTGTTATAAATAGGGGATAAATATATAACATATTTAGAATTTAAGATTTAGATGTTTAAGATTGATTCTCTGTGTATAGTATAGGTTTTTAAATTTCTGGTTTATTGGCTGTTTGTATACATAACACATGCTAGGTTGTACATCTTTATATGAAAAAGCTGCATAGCTTTTATTTCTGTCTGACCCAAACAAAGAATGAAACTAGTAATCAGTTAAATAGTCTCAATGTCCCATTCTTTACTGTGGTTTTATAGGAACTGAAATTATATTGCAAGTAATTTGTACATTTACTCTGTTTCAGAAACATACAGCTTTTGCTACATTCTCTAATGAAAAAGCAGCTATAAAGGTATGATTTTTTTCTTTACTTTTAAAGTTGTCAGTAATTTTTTTATTCTTAGTTTGGGTACAAAAATGGGAAGTAATATTAAACTCTAGTTTTTAGAAGTGAAAACTTTGTATTCCAAGAGTATACCCAACAGGTTGATTTGGTTGTCAGTTGGCAGACTTTGTCCAGTGCTTAGTTATTGGAACTCAGAAGTGGTAGGCTAACTATAAAATCAACTGTATGTGTAATTGAAAATAACAAGTTCTGAAAGAATGTAAAATGGATAACTATCTCTGTAAATGTTACAAGGAAAGATGTGTTAAGTATTAAAAAGTAGAAACCCAGGGAATCATTTGTGATGGAGCTGACTTTTAAACTAGATCTCTAATAATTAGTTGGATTTTAAGAACAGAGGCTGGCCTTCCACATTTAGGAAACACTTTAAGTAAAGCCATGCCATGGAAAGTTTTAAGTGGGAGCTAGGACCTGAGATGGAAAGAGGACTTGAAAAATATAGTCTATGGGCTGAGGTAGTGGCTCAGTGGTAGAGCATTCGCCTAGCACATTGGAGGCCTGGGTTCAATCTTCAGCACCAAATAAAACAATAAATAAATAAAATAAAGGTATTGCTTCCAACTACAACTAAAAAATAAATATTTTTTAAAAATATAGAGAGTCTAAATTTGAGTAGAAGAGAGGTATGGAATTTTGTTTAGTAGTTTGTTCTAAAGGCATTGGATACTTTTGAGCTGGCTAAAAATACAACCAGCCCTTTGAAAAATACACAATGGTGTTTATATCTCAGATTGGATTTGGAGAAATATTGAAGACAAGAAAACCAAATAGAAAGATGTTTTAGTGGCCAAGGCAAGAATAAATATCTGAAGAAAACAAACGGCAAATTACATAAACATTTGGTAAAGATTGAGTTTATAGGTCTTGTGTCGTAGGGGTTGAGAGAGAGAGAATAGTCAAAATTTTTGTGGTTGAGAATTTAAATTGGGACCGTGCTGCTTCTGAGGATCTTCTATAAGAATTTGGAGTAGGAATATGTTTGTAAAGGTATGTAATGAATTCATATATTACCTATTAATTTTGAGAAGTCATTGGGCTACTTCTGTGGAATATTTGGTAAATATTTAAAAATACCAGTCTAGAGTTAAGGCAAGGTCAACAATGGAAAATTTCTTCAACTATGTGAATAGATACGGTAGATATCATGACCCACTGGAAGATGAGCCCAGAGAAAAGACTGGGAGGGAAAAGTTAAGGAAGTAGGATAACTAGAAAAGAAATTTTCATAAATGCAAAAAGAAGAGTGTTAAGAAGACCAGCTCCTGTGATGACACATACTGAGGAACGAACACAGTGTATTAAGGACTTTTTACCATGAAACAATAGAAATTACCCAAATTCTCATCAATAAGGAGAAAGGGATAATTTGAAATGCAGATTGAGCATCCCCCATCTGTAACACTCCCAACATCTGAAATTTTCAGCTCCAACACATAGCCACAAAGTGGAAAAGTCTATACTTGACCTCGTGGAACAGGTCACAGTCAAAGTGCATGCACATTAAAATTATTGTATAAAATTACCTTTAGGCTATATGTAAAAGTTATTTCCAAAACATAAATGAATTTTATGTTTAGACTTAGGTCCCATCTAAAAGTTATCTCATTATATTCCCCAAATCTGAAAAAATTCCAAAATCTGATTTCTGGTCCTAGGCATTTTAGATAGGTGTACTTAATCTGTGTGGATGGTTCGGGTCATATTTTGGTGGTAATTTGAAGAAAGTGAAGGAAGTTAGTTTAAGAAGTATTTGGGAGAAGTGCATTCCAGTCAGAGGAACAGCTAGAACAGAGAGGTCCTAGGGTATAAACATGCCTTTTGTGTTCAAGGAAGCCTCTGTGACAGGAGCACGCCAAATGAAAGGGAGAGCATTGGATTTGAAATCAGAGAAGTAAGTGTCCTCACTATGGAGTTTATATAAGGAATTTAGATTTTACCCTGAGAAAAATGATTTCTACTAGTATTTTAAGCAAGGTAGTGACATAACTCTGACTTATAGTTAAAAGAATCACATTGCTTGTGTTAAAATAGGCTGAAGAAGGGGGAGAGTAGAAATGGGAGAGTTTACTAAAAAGTTATTATAATTTAGTCCAAAGATGATTTTGCTTAGATGATCATTGCTCAGTTGTAGCACTGGAAACACTAAAGCAATGGTTAGATTCTGGGTATATTTTGGAGGTAAAAATAATCAAGATTTCTTAGAGGCTTGAATATAAAATATAGGAAAGAAGTGGTTAGGATAATTCTAAGATTTTTGACCTGATTAACTGGAAGAATGGAATTATTCTTAACTCAAAAACTGGTCCTAGGCATTTTAGATAGGTGTTCTTAACTGAAAGAGAAAAGGCTCCAGATAAAGGACATTGAGATTGGGTGAGTATTAAGTGGTTCAGTTTCTGAAATGTTAAATTTGAGATGTTTGACACTTGAGAAAAGATATTCATTATTTGGATATTTGTTCCTGGATTCAGGACAGTTCTGGGCTGAAGTTATAAATTCAGGATTTTCATTATATTGATGATATTTAAATTTAGAATGCTGGATTAGACCACCAAAAGAATGTATTTAGATAGGGAGGAAGACCAAGAATAGAGTTTTGGAGCATTCTAACATTAGGAATGTGAAAAAGCACAAGTCAGAGATTGATTAGTAAAATAAAATAAAAAACAGCGAGCTAAAAAAAAATTTATATTATAAATGTGTATATTTATATACATTATTTTATGTATGTTATTTATATTTACATATGTCATAATATAAATGATGCCTGAAAACAAGCAAATAACCATTTACCAAGGTGTATGTATTTATAAAATGTAGTGTAGAGAAGAATAAGTGTAGTATCATTGGCTTGGTAATGCAAAATTTCTAGTTGTCTATGAAAGGCAGTATCAGGGGATTTCATAAGCCTGACTGGAATAGATTTGAGACTGAATGGAAGGAGGTATAGATAAGAGAGTTTAGATCATTCTAAAGGATTTTAGTGGCAAGAATAAGAATAAGCAGTGGTAAGCAGGATCATAGCAGAAAGAAAAAAAATCAGGGTGGGAGAAATAGGAGTATGTTTGTATGATGTGGGAGATCCAACAGGATAGAAAATTAATAATGTAGATAAGAACACCCCCTTGTACATGTCCAGAGAATAGCTGAAGAAAGACTTTAATAGATGAGGGTTTGGTTTAGTTTGCAAATCAAGCAGCTGGATTTAGATTTAAAATATGCATAGTTAATTTGTGTGACAGAAAATATGTTGATGCAGATGACGATAGATAGGGAGTTATGATAGGACTCTGAAATTCTCATCTTGTTTATTCATTTACCTCAAAGTAAGGATATAAGGTGCTTTGCTGAGAATGGGAGAGAAAATATTGTAAGGTTAAGGATCAAGGAGGAAGTATAAAATATTTTGTTCATATATAACTGTGACATTATTAAGAAGTGGTTGCATTTGTGAATGGGACCATGCAGATTTGTTTTATATATATATAAATTTTTTTCTAGCCATTTTCAGCTTCCTATAACAATATCTAATTTCACTTTTATTTGTGCATTGGGATCCTGAGTATTGATAAAATAAATAGCTTCCTAATTATAAGAAGAGTTTGCAGAGGGTTGGAGTTAGGTAGATTTTTTATTTTGCTCAGATATAGGAAGCAGTCCTTTGATAAGTAATAAAGATTTGAACATAGGAAGGTTATGTCCAATTCATTCCATTGTGTTTCCTATGTTCATATATGAATATAGCATAGTCAATCTCCACATCATGTACAGTCACAAGAATGGGATGCTAATTAGAATAACATATACTTCATGTATGTATAATATGTCAAAATATACTCTACTGTCATGTATATCTAAAAAGAACAGATAAAAAATTTAAAAATTAGGTTGTTTAACAAATCAATTTTAAGAAAGTAATAAACACTTGATAGATAGCCTGAGATTAGAAATGAACAAGAAATACCCAAGTAAATAAGTAAATGTTTATAGCCTTAACAACAATAAAACGTGTATACAGTTTTTTGTTTGTTTTGTTTTATTTTTCTTTTTAATGTGATACTTAGCAAATAGTTTTTGATATAGTAAATTTTTTACTCTTGTTCTTCCAATTGAAGGCATTGACAAGACTTCATCAGCTGAAACTTTTAGGTCACACTTTAGTAGTTGAATTTGCAAAAGAGCAAGATCGCATTCATTCTCCATGTTCCACTTCAAGCACTGAAAAAAAGAAAAGGTACGTAGATTCATTTAGGTTTTCCTACCATTTTAGGTTGGGGAGTGTGCGTGTGTGTTAGCCAGTTGTGTAATTACTTCATTGTTCTCAGACTAGCAAGTAAAATAATTTGAAGCCATAATGATAAATTTCTTCATTAAATCAAGTATAGTAAAACAATATCTAATTTCACTTCTAATTGTGCATTGGGATCCTGAGTAATGATAAAATAAATGTAAAGTGAGATGGAAATGTGGTGAAAGCATTCCACTTTTAGTGGAAAGGAGGTAATTACAGCTCGTTTATTTCTTATCCAAAATGGTTGTCACCAGATGTTTCAGATTTTTTTTTATTATTATTATTTTGAAATATTTGCAGATACATAATGAGTTATCTTAGGGATGAGACTCAACATGAAGTTTATGTATTTTCATGTATACCTCATATACATAGCCTGAAGATAACTTTATGTGATATTAATAGTGTGCCTGTTACATGAGAGTAGGTATGGAATTTTACACTTCTGGTATGATGTTGGCTCTCAAAAAGTTTCATATTTGAGAGCATTTGGTATTTCAACTTATAGAAGAGATTCCTTTCAGTAATAATACTAAGCTGTCATGAATACGTGTGGCCTTTGAAAATGATGACCAGTATTTGGTTCTCAGTTACGACTCTTTGTTATATAATCTTTACAAATTTGCTTTACACAAGTGGGTCTCAAAGTAAATCCCTGGACTAACTGAATCATCTAGAAACTTGATTAAAATATCGAATTATACAGAATCCTAGGCCTTAAAACTCAATCTTACTGAATCAGAAACTAAAGGAGGAGGGACAAGGAAGTACAGTGCTAGACATCTGTGAGATTGGACAAAGATATAAAAAAAAAATGGAGTACCACTTATGTACTATATAAATTTTATTTTATTTTTTGGTCTTTGAGAATTATCATGCCAAATTTATAAATTTCCTGTGAAAAGGAAATGAAAAGGTGGAATGTCCAATTTTACAATAATACAAAAGGTTTTCAGTACAATTCTGCTTCTCTTTTCATTGATGCCTGCTTGAGAAATGCTTGAAAGGTTTTTTTTTTCCATAACTGAATTGTTTTCATAATGTCATGTTTGAAAAAATTCTTTTTCTTTTCTGTATGTAATTTTAAGATAAGATCAACTTATGTTCTGTCTAGGTCTGATGACACTGTGGAAGATGATAAAGAAAAGAAAGAATTTGGTTGTTTAACAATAGAAAATGGAATTGCACCAAACCACGGGTTAGCATTTTTTGTTTGTTCTTTTGTTGATTTTATGGCTTTTGTTGCTCTCTATGTGTGTGTACACATTTTACAATAATGCAAAAAATTTTTATTATTTGCAATATATACATATATTGCAAATAAAAAAATTTTTAAATGAATAAATTTAGCATGTCATGTATAATGTTAATACGCTGAATAAACATCTAGAGCTAGGTGCTTGTCACTGAATTCAGTTCAAAAAGCACCTATTAAAGTGTTCAGAGCTATATGTAAGCTCTGAAAATGTCTCTTCCTTTTGTGATGCAATCAGAAGGCAAGTTTCTTCTTAAAAGTACTTGTTTGGATCTTTAAGGAACAAGGTAACTAACTTTAAGTGTATCATTTGAACAATTTTGTATATTGTCAGTTTACCTAAAGTGAGTTATTGATATGAAATTATTAAAACATAATAAACACTCAATTTTTTTATTTTTTATTTTTTTAGGTTGACTTTTCCTCTGAATTCATGCCTCAAGTATATGTACCCGCCACCTTCAAGCACAATCTTAGCAAACATAGTAAATGCTTTAGCAAGTGTACCTAAGTTCTATGTACAGGTATATAAAATAAAACTTATTTTTCTCAAAATACTTATTTGTTTAGCTCAATACTATATTTTCCATGATGATTTTCATACTTATGTATGATAGTATCAATCAGACTAATTCTAGACAGGCAATGATACACAATGCATTCATTAACTACATTGAAAATGGATTCTAATAAAGAGAACCTAATTTGGGAAATGTCATTTCTGGTAATTTTCTGTTATTTTAGAATATACCATTAGTATGGAATTTCCTAAGGAAAGAGTGGGTCCTTCAGCAAGTGCTTGGTAATTTCAGCAGTAATAGGATACTTCTTTGAAGTAGAAAATATATGTGTTTTTCATTATTGTACTCTGTTTGATTAACTCAGTAATCAGTAACATTGATAGAGTAACATTAGATTTTACATTATAAGAGCATTACATTCTTATTAGTGGGGATAACTATATTGATAGAAATGACAAAAAAATTTAGGAAGACTAACCTGAGATATATCAGTGCTTTGTTTTTCCTTGTCTTGGGATCATAAAGAGAAGAAATGGCCTTTCTTTTCACTCATTTAATCAGTAGTGTTTTTACAGAAGGTTTTTAGTACATGAAATACAGGATGTGAGTTGAAACATTATGTGAATACTGTATGATTTTAAAACTCTTGCCACTTTAAGGTACTTCATCTTATGAATAAAATGAATTTGCCTACACCTTTTGGACCAATTACTGCACGACCTCCCATGGTAAGAAACCACGTAGAATTTTCAACTTTCATTTACTGAATGAAATTATTGAGGATAAATTATACAAGTATTATGTCAACCTCTGATGTATGGTGAAGATAAGAAATACATATAAAGTAAATGTGATACTAATAATAAAGCTGAGAAGGAAAAGAGGAAAACCAGAATATGAAAGTTTTGGTAATAGAGACCAAAATTTTTTATAGCATTGTTCAATTCTTTAACCTACAATGTTGCATCATTACAACATAACCACAACAATAGAAACATCTAAAAATTCCATTGTTGTGACTCTGTTGTATCATTTGAGAAAGACAAAAAAAAAAGGTTGCTAATACTATATTAAAATTTACCTGCATATCTTGTAGTAATTTAGACATTAAGCTATGTCTACTCTTAAAATTATTCCAATGTAATACTGTATATATTTATGGATAATAATAATGCAAAATTATTTTGAATGTTACCATAGAAGAGAATTTGCATTGGGCTTGACTGCTTTTCTGCTATATGTAGTGTTAGCTTTATAATATTTTTTTGTAGCTTTAGCACCTACTCAGTGCTTGTTATAGGGTTTTTATGATTATGCCAGGGGCTGGGATTGTGGCTCAGTGGAAGAGTGCTTGCCTGGCATGTGTGAGGCCCTGGGTTCGATCCTCAGCAACACATAAAAATAAATAAATAAACAAAATAAAGGTATATAAAAAAACAAAAAGATTGTGCTAGCAGCTGTTAATGAACAAAATTTACTCTTAACTCTTTTAATACAGTAAGTTATTTCTTGTTCACGTTGTTTCCATTCCAAAATTATGATAGAAAGATATTCTATTCTAAGTTATTCAGAAGCCTGAGTTGTCTTCACCCTGTGCCTTGTCAGGTTGATGAGGGCATTACCAAATAGTCTGCAGATCAGGAAGGGAAAATTATGATAGAGTTCTTTTTTCTCCTATTTTTGGTTACATGGCAAACAATAACTCTATAAGAGGGGCTTTCAAAGTTGGTCCAGCTAGAGGCCAAAGAAGACAAAATAAATTTTGTGATCAATTAGTAGTCTGCCACAGCACACATGAGTATGTTTCTGTGCTGAATATGCAAAAGAATATTATGAAGTAAAGGGAAACAAGAATCAAGTATTTACATGGAAATTGGTTTGTCTATTCTGTAAATATCACGGATTGCCATAGCATTTTTATTTTGTTTTTTAAATTAGTATGAAGACTATATGCCATTGCATGCACCTCTCCCACCTACATCTCCTCGGCCACCTGAGGACCCTCCTTTGCCAGATGAGGATGAGGAGTTATCTAGTAAAGAATCAGAATATGAAAGCAGTGATGATGAGGACCGACAGAGGTTAGTAATAAGAATAAATTGTTTAGATTGTAAGAAGCATAGAATGTGGGAAAGACTTTTTTGTTCTTCCTATACTTTGCATATAATTCTTCAGATTTTGGAGTCATTAGAATTTGTTCATAGCCATCACCCCTCTAGCATGCAATGTTTGATAAATTAAGACCTGAGAATAGGTACTAGGACCTAAGGGAATATTGGGGGAGTATGCATAATTTTTTAGATGAGTGATTGTGGCATTAAAAGCACACCATGAAACTTCATTATTTATGGATTTGTGTTTGTGAATTTGCCTACTTGATATTTTAGCTAGCCCCCAAATCAATAGTTTATAATATATTTTTCAAGTATTTTGTGGATCTGGATGCGCATAGCTTGGTGCAAATTTATTTAAGTCATCTGACATGGAGATATCAAATGAGGTCAAATAAAGTGGCTGTGTTTGTTGGCATTACATCATTATAATGAAGTGCTTGAGATAATGAACTTAAAAAAGGGCTTTATTTATTTAATTATTTACTGGCCTCTCCAGTTGTGGAGGTTCTGGTTTATTGGCCTCATTATTTTAGGCATGCGATGAGGCAGCACATCACACATAGCACAGCAGAACTACTCGCCTTATGGTTAGAAAGAGAAAGAGATCACAGCTCACAGTACACTTCAAGGGCATGCCCTGGTTGACATTAGGACCTTTCACTAGGCCCTACCTCCTAACGATTCCATTACTGCCTAATAGGGCCACCCTGGAAACCAGGCTTTTAAACACAAGGCCTTTGGGGGATATTCAAGATGCAAACTTTGTCAGTGACTCTCTGCCTTCTTGTTTTAGCTCTCATACTATATACAAGTGTTCTTTGCATAGTCTGTTCAGTGTTGTATTTTTCACATTTTTGAGTTTTTGTTGGTCATTTTGCTGTTTAGAATCGCAGTGTTACCTTGTATTCATTTCTGCTGTTAATTCATCTTTATGAGAGAAAACAAAACTGCATATAGTAACCTGTGTTTCCATGCTTTTCTGTCACTCTGTAACAGAACTTTAAAAAAAAAAGGAATATTTATTGGTTCAGCATATGTTTTTTGAGTATCTAATATATGTGCATGACCTTGATTTAGAGACTTGGTATACTTCAGGTGAGCAATTTATGTGATTTAAATCACTGGATTTTTCATAAAATTTTTGGTAAGTTGTGTAATTAAGAGAGTTTAAAAATTTACATCGTACGTTTACATTTTTCTCTGGGGGAAAAAAATTTAAAACCTATTTGAGCCATACCTCCTCTCTGTTTTGTTGAGTGTATTTGTTGTGCTTCCAAATTTTACAAATGAAATTCTGAGAGTTAGAATTATGACTGGTGGCTTCTGAGCTCCTTCTTTATGGAAAATGCAAAAATGCTTAGGTAAGGTATAAATATTAGCTATTCATACTCATAATGGAGGAAAGCTATGTACAAGGTATCAATACTACTTCCTAATTATTACTTGCAGGCTACTCCCACCCCCACTTCCTTACCCCAGGGCTGGGGACTGAACTCAGGGCCTTGCATGTGCTAGTCAAGTGCTCTGCCACTGAGCTAAATCCCCAACCCTGCAAGCTACTTTGAGTGAAGTATTTGAAAACTGTTCTTAGGTAGCTTGTTACCTTACCTTGCTTATATAATGGTTTATTTGCAGCATTTATTCATATGATGCTTTTCAGTGAAATACTTTTTGGTCTATGGTCTGTTTGAATATGAATCAAAATAGTTTTACTCTCTTGGTAAAGTCTTTTGAATATCTGTCAAGAAAATATCAATAAAGTTACATAAATTGTATTAAGGTATCAGTTCTTTTGTTTGGTATGAGTCCACCATTTTATTTGGACAACTAATAATGTTTATAATGAAAAATATTTTTAAGATAATTTGATAAATTTTAAGTAAATTCTTAATTCTTTCAAAGAAAGTTAGAATATAAGCTCCATCAAATCTTTCAAAGAAATTTAGAATTTAAGCTCTGTCAAATTTTTTATCCCTTTATTTATGTCTTCGAATTTCTTATCCCATGTAAATATATTCCATATTAGATAAGTGAATTGTGTTATAATTTATTTTTATACATCCAAATTCAAATTTAAGCTTAACACCAACAGTATTGAATAATTATGCTTCTAGATAAGGATCTTGTTTACACTCCCTCTTTTCCAATATAGAATGACCAAACTAATGGAACTAGCAAATTTTCAGCCCAAAAGACCAAAGATGGTAAAACAGCGCCATGTGAGAAAAAAGCGAAAAATAAAGGATATGTTGAATACACCCTCATCTTCTTCACACAGGTAGTTTTATATAGAATTATGAAAGTGAATGCTGTCCATATGTACTTTGTTTACTTGCTTAACTCACATTACTCCTAAATGTAGCTTTTGTTTAATACACATTTACTTGGTTCACCATTGGCTTCCTATTTGCACATTCATAACTATTCATAATTTTCTCACAGTTTACCATTGTTTAATAATACTGAGTAGCCCGGTTCTCAGAATTTTCCACCTTTCATTTTATAACATCATGTTCTCTTTTTGTCTTTTCTATTTAGTGTCTCAATATTAATTGAAATTTTAACTTCATTTAGTTTTTCTATTAGATATATTTGTCTTGTAATTAACTTTATAAGTTAAGAGGGGAGTTTTAAAATTTTTTTTATTTTTAAAGGAATATATTTTTAATCACTTATTTCAATTTAAGTAGAAATAATATGATATATAATTTGATGCCTACCTGACTTGACACTGCTATTCCATACTTTTAATCTCTATAGCAGTACTGAACAACAGAAACAATGTGAGCCACATTAAACTTTCCAGTAGCCACATTAAAACAGTAAAAAGAAGCAGATGAAATTAATGTTGATAATATAACTGTGTAACATGTATATCTAAAATATTATTTAAGCCTAATTCAGTATAAAATTGAGATATTTATTATATATTTGTTTTTCATAAAGAATCAGCAGCCACTTATAGCTGTTATTTACTTTGTTAACACAGGGCTGCTGCATACTGTATAAAATATAGTGCATTAAAAATTTATACATTAATATAAATTTAACTTTTTTGAGTATATTAGTAAATACCATGGTGTATAAAATCAGTAGTCAAGTAATTCAAGTACTGCCATTCATTTACCTGGTAACTTTATGCAAATTATTAGCATCTTTTAACCTCAGTCTCCTCATCTGTAAAGTAGAAATTTAGTAATACATTAGTGCATATCTAAGAGTTTACTGAAGTTTTTAAAACACTTTATGCAGTGCTTATAAGTGTATTGAATGTTTTATCAAACTTTTTAAAATTGAGAATGAAATAATATTCTCGGGATTTGCAATTACAAATTCATGCTGTGGTTATTTTTAAATAGCAATGTACATCCTGTGCTGTTACCTTCGGATGTATTTGACCAACCACAACCTGTAGGTAATAAAAGAATTGAATTCCACATATCCACGGACCTGCCAGCTGCATTGAAGAAAGATTTAGAGAAAGAACAGAATTGTGAAGAAAAAAATTCTGGTAAGAATATTTGAGTTCTTTCACATGATAAAGTCAGTCTTATTGCATTAGAATTAAGTTTCATATATAATATTTGTCTGTTTTCGTATTTGTCAGTTTTATTTAAAATATGTGACTAGGCTTCCTTAATATCACGAAATAATATACATTTCCAGCTGTTTTATATACATAAAACTTAGTTTGCAAGGTTGTCACTATTACTTTTTTGCTAGTAATGACATCTAGAGTGAAATTTATGTTTTCTGGCTGGTATATACACTAATAATACAAGAGTTTTGTGTTGTCTTAACTTCTCATTGCTTGTTTAATGTGATGTTCTATGGTTTTATTAATGTCATTGTATTATTAGGAAACAATGTAGCTATCCTGTGAGTTGTAGATTTTACACATGTATCTATATTTGTGTGTGTGTGTGTGTGAGAGAGAAAGAGAGAGAGAGAATATGGGTGTATTTTTTTTTAATCCAAAACATTTGGAGGATTGTTTACCAGATACTATTTTTACATTTAAATTTAGCATATTAAAAATTACAGGTTTTTTCCAACTTTTTTAGACATTAATTTTTTATTAACAGTGTCATTTCTTTGTACCTTAAATCTTTATATTTCCAAAATCATACAAGCTTATTAGAAATTGATTCAGGACAGAAACATAAAGTAAATTTTTTAAAAAAATTAGCATTCCCAAACCCTACTATCCTCTGTTCTACTGTGCAGAGGTAACCAATGTTTTTGTTTCTGCATTCTTCAAGACTTTATCTTGTGTGTTAGCTTTGTGTTGCTATAACACAACATCAGAGATCATCAATTTAAAGGAAAGGTTTATTTTGGCTCACTGTTTAGGAAGTTTCAGTCCATAGTTAATAGACTCATTGCTTTTGGGACTATGGTGAGGCAGTAAATGGTATTTGTAACACATGCAAAGGAAGCCACTCATCTCATAACAGCCAAGAAGCAAAAAGAAAGAAAGTGTCTTAGACCAGTGTTCCATAAGTCCTGTCAAGAGCAAGCCCCTGGTGAGGAGACTACTTCTCACTAGTCCCCAATCCTTACGTTTCCACCATCTCCTAATATTGCCATGGGCTAATCAAGCCTTTACCACATAGTCTTTTAAGATCAGTGTAGATCCAAACTATAGCAGTCAGTACATGTAAACACATTTTTCTTTTATTCTTGTTTTTGAACATGAATATGAATAAAATATGCACATCATATTTTACAGTGTTCATCTTTCACTCAGTGACTTATTGAAAGTTATATAGCAGACTCTGGACAAAGACATTTTCTCTTGTGTTTTAGAATTTACAGTCTAGCGGAGATAACTTACTATATCAGAGCATAAAAATATGTACCATACTTTTTCATGACTGTGTAATAGAACATAGTGTAGTAATATCAGTCATTATTTAATCATACAATATTATGAGTTTTCTAATCTTTACTGTTACAGAAAACACTAAAATATACATCTTTTTTACTTATATATTTGAATACTTCTGTGACTATGGGGTAGAATTCTAGTAGGTATTAGAGACATAGTGAGTGAAAATCTCTAGTGAATTTTAATTCTTGTCTGATAGTTAGTGAGAATGCATTGATTTTTTGGGGTAGCTTTATTTTTGTTTTTTTCAATATTTTTATTTTTTGTTTTGTAAGTTCATCTTATTAAGTCACTCATTAACATAAAAATTTATTAATCTGTTTTTTCTTTACTAGGATATGAAAATTGTACATATTTATGTGGTACAATTTTCTTAGGTTTAATTTGCTCAAAGACTTATACATATACAAAAAGGGAACAGTCATTCTACATCATTGGCAAAGCAGAAAAATTAATAGTAGAAGCATTTTAGAGATTTTAGGTTTTCTTTTTTAGGTAGTATTAACTAGAATGTTTCTAGTGAATGTTTAACCCTGTCTTTCTAAACATTTTTCCCCTATGCCAGATTAATTATTGTTGATGCTAAAATTCATATTTTATTAATGAAATCCAGTATGTTGATAACTAAAGTAAAAAGTTTTTAGTATTTTTTAATTTCCTTAATTTGAATGAGTAATTTTTAAATTTTGGGTTTCTTCTTAAAGAATCAAGATTATAATTATCTTTTTTTCTTTGTAGTGTGGGGAGGTTAATGGAAGGACATACCTTGTTATGGTGTTTATTTCAGCATAGTTTACTTATCCTAATCTTATAATTGTTGAAAAGATTGAGGTTGTTTCACAATGTTCTGATGTAACAATATAATCTTCGTAACTATTATATAACACTGAGTGACTATCTTAGCAGGATTATGTAATTTATTTAATTGCAAATTTCTTTTTGTTCCTACAGTTATTAATATTTCACACTGTCTACCCAGTGAACGTTTCATCAGATGCCCCTTTGGCACCTCAGACTGAATACGTTGAAACTAAATTTATTTTTTCCTCTTTGCAGAACCTCTATGTAGCAATACAAAGCAATAGTTTAGCTGCTTAGCTCTTGTCTATGGGTGTTTTCATATTACAATAACAAAATTAAATAGTCATGATAGAAACCATATGACCTACAAAGCCTAAAATATTTACTATTTGGACCTATTTTCCTATGTCTATTCTAGAACATTGAGAAACACCAAAAAAATTCAGTGATGCCAAAAATATTTGTTAAATTAAAATAGGGAACAGAAACTTGAAAACTGTATTGAAAAGAGAGATAGTTAATGGCTAATATTAATGCTGAACTCTTAGAATTACCTGCTACTGAAGTTGATGCATCCAGTATAGGATTTGGGAAAATCTTCCCCAAACCTAATCTGAACATCACAGAAGAAACTAAAGAAGACTCTGATGAAATGCCCTCAGAATGTATTTCTAGAAGGGAGTTGGAAAAGGGCAGAATTTCCAAAGAAGGTAATATTATGAAATAAACCAGTTTATATTCCATTTCACAGTTCTTTAACTACACAGAAACAAAACAAATCCATTTATATCAAGAAACATAACTTAAAGCATAGACATCAGTTTCTATCTGATTAATGTTTGTTATCTCTTTTGGGTTTTAAACCCCATACTTCATAGGTAAATTTCCTTTCCATACTGTTTCCTGCTTATATTCATTTGGGAAAAATATTTCTTTTCATTCCTAAAACTTTTTTATATGGCATGTAAAACAAATAATGGTATCCACAAGTCTGGAGTTATGTGTTACAAATATAGAACTGTTAATTGATAATTTATTTTTCTCTGTTGTGGATTTAACATACTATATCTGAGATGCATACAAAGCAACTCTAAAACAATGTTGATGATTAAAAATGCATATTTTAGGATTTTATATTCTCACGTAATAGTTTTTCACTTTTAAAAGATTTTTTACTGTTTAGTTCATTTCAGAAAAATATAAGGTTTTTGGACTGTTTGTAACATGTAATTTTTTTTCCACAATAATGAGAGATAGACTTCCAGCTAGTATTTTTGCATATAACTTCTAGTTATGAAGAACAGATTGCTTAGTAAACTTGGGGAACTATAAAGGGAATCTGAAATACATTTGTCCAAAATACACGATTGTTATTTTGTAGTACTTCATAATTATTTTTGAATATGGAAGTGGCTGGTGGTTTGGAAAATTTATTTTAATCAAAATGTTATACAAACAATATCAGATATGCTTTACTCTTTAATAAAGTAACTCATCTTAGGACCTTTAATAGTAAATATTTTATTAAACAGATTTTAGTTATTGTAGATGTCAGAGATTTTTCAAAACAATACTTAAATTTTTTCCTTATAATCGTTTCAGATTTTTAATTTGTATTATATACCCATCAGTAATATTGCTACTAATATCTATGGCTTTAACATTTTCATAAAGCCTATTTTACCTGTTTAATAGTTATTTGCATGTTGTAAGTTTCTTTGAAAAATTGGTAAAAATATTTTAATTTTATATCTTTGTTTTGTCTTGTCTTTAAATAAGAAATGGAAACACTTTCAGTTTTCAGAAGTTATGAACCTGGCGAACCAAACTGTAGAATATATGTAAAGAATTTAGCTAAACATGTTCAAGAAAAGGTAAGTTGAACTTGCAAATCGATTTTGTTATTTTACATTTTCCCCGCTGGCTTCCTTATTTATTTCTTTCTTATTGAATTTCCAGGATCTTAAATTTATTTTTGGGCGCTTTGTTGACTTTTCATCAGAGACACAACGAATCATGTAAGTAGCAATCATAACCTCAAGTTATGTTTTGGTTTTTCTATGTTGTAAATTTAACACTTTTTGTTATGCCACCATTTTCCTTTTAAAGATAAAGATTGAATGAATATATTGGTGTATTTTCTTTCACAAGTAACCTTTTAGACATCTATTATAGGAATTGACAAACTTCTTTAAATGGACAAACAGGAAAAAATACAATGTTTTTATTTTATTGCAGGCCATGTTGTCTGTAGCTAATCATTTTTGTAGTCCTAGCTTCAAAATAGCTGTGATACATAAACAAATATTTATGGCTTTATTCAGGTATATCTTTACTTATAGGAATGGACTTTTGGTAAATTCTGCTCCTGTACCCTGCTCTAAAGCACACGTGTTCAGGCTTTAATATACCGCACAATAATCACCTGAAGATTGTGGTGAAGCAGTTTCTTGGGCCCATCTCCAGAGAGTCTGGTTTTCTAGAGTGTAATAAGACTCATGAGTTTGCATTTCTCAAAAGCTTTTGGGTGATATGAAGCTACTGGTCCAAAGAGGACACTTTGAAAAATATTATTTTAGTGGTTTATCCAAGAATATACAGTAACCAGGAAAGTTTTTTTAAGAATTTGTACTCTGGCAAGAAAGTTCTCATCTTTTAATTGAACTGTATTAGTCAAAGCTAGCAATTCTGTGAAAGTAGAAAAAAGGGATGTGATTCATTATTACTATAAAGCTAATATTTGGAGTTATAATTTCATTTTTTAAAATTTTGTACTAGTTAATTTCAAAGTAAAGATTCTTTGTCATATAAATAAAAAGTAGAATGAAGTAGAAGATGAGAAATGTTTGAGTGGAGTTAAAATAACAAGTTAGTTTTGTTTTAACTTTCAGTCAAAAAAGTACTTTATAAGTCTTATCTGACCTGCATGTCTTTTTCAATAGATATACAGAGATAAGACCACATCTTAACATGCTCCATCTGTATTCATTAGTGGCAGATGTCTCATCAGGATATCAAGTTTATTTTTCTGGCCATGCAAAATGCTGTTCTTTGTTGTTGTCAATAGGACGTGATTGTACAGGGGGAAAAAAATTATATATGCATTCATATAAGTATGTTTGTGTATATATGTAAACATTTTCAGTATTGTCTATAATCAGAATTTGAACTGAAAATATATTTCTATGTTGAGAAAACTGTAGGTAGCAAAATAGTATATTGTTTCCCATGAGACTGACCATGTGATTAAAAAAGGTCAGTGCATTTTTTTAATTGATACCTTTACATGTTAGTATTCTTTTCCCATCCAGTATACCATATCTTAGTGGAAAACTATACTCTCATTTTTCTAAGTAGTTTTGGAGTATAGATTTCTCTCAGAAATGTTGAAAAAATGAGTATGTTGTAGAATAATAGAACACTGTACTAGGAATAAACTCTGTGATTTGAGCCATCTACTTTTCAAAGTCTTCTCTCTAGGTATCACTTTAAAATGATAGTTTTGACTAGAAAATAATCAAGGTCTTTTTCTATCCTGATACTATAATTTCTTTCCCTTTTTTTCCTCTTATTAGTTCTTTTTTAGTTATACATGGCAGTAGGATCCATTTTGCTATAATTTTACAAGCATGGAATATATCTTATTATGATTAGGACCCCATTCTTATGGATGTACACCATAGTGAGATTCACTATGGTATGTTCGTATATGTACATAAGAAAATTATTTCAGATTTATTTCACAGTCTTCCCTTTTCTTGCATGCCCTCCTTTCCCTTCATTTCACTTCATCTAATCTACTGAATATCTATTCTTCCCCTCTCCCTGCATTATAATTTCTTATAGTAATAATAATAATATAATAAATTACTCAGTTGCTTATATTTGGTTCCTATTAATCTTCTATCCTTGGTCGTATGGTTTATTTTTTGTTTATTTGTTGTTGTCACTTTGAGCAGAAAGTATTGAATTGATTGCAAGAAACTTTTTGAAAATAGGGATATATGTGGCAAACCTAAGTAATAGAAACATACCTAGCATGCACAGGACTCTGAGTTTAATCTCCAAAACAATAACAACCAAAAACTGTGTGTGCTTTTACTGTTACTTTATAACTTTTAAATAACCAAAATATATGTGTAAGAGTTAAAATATAGAGATTCACACATCATGAAATTTGTATTACCTACTTGTAGAAAAATAGAATACAAAATAGAATTTTAGAAAGCCTGACTAATGTGTTAATCAGAGAGTATAGTCATTTTTATTTTGAAATAGCAACTTTTGAACACATTCTTATTCATTGCATCAAAATAATTTTACATTCTTTGAAGCAAAACTACTTTTCTTCCTTGACTTCTAGGTTTGATATACGCCTGATGAAAGAAGGTCGCATGAAAGGACAAGCTTTCATTGGACTTCCAAATGAAAAAGCAGCAGCAAAAGCCTTAAAGGAAGCAAATGGATATGTTCTTTTTGGAAAACCCATGGTGGTTGTATCCTTTAAATCAATCTATTTCAAAACTATGTAATTTTGGGGAAAAGAGTATAACTGAAATTAATTCTATGTTACCCTTTAAAAAGCTCATCTGGCATTCTACCTTGAAATATGCAGTTACAGTTAAACTTTTCTTAGCTGAGTCAGGTGATGATTTTATTTAGACTTTTATTGCATGAGGTTATTAAATTTCAGCCAAGTTTACTTAGTATTTCACTTACACAGCTCAAAAGTACATCTTCTTACTAAGCCTTACAAAGGGTATCTGGAAATACATTTGGAGTCACAAAAACATTATTCATTATACCATTATTATTCTCTTGTATTATTATTCATATTTTTGCTTGATAATTTTAATATCCAGACTTTTTAATATTTTAATATCATCTTTTAATGTATAAAGGTAGAAAGTCCAGGTATAAAAACTAATGATACTAAAGGAAAGGCTAATTTTTATTCCCCTCCCCCCACGATGATTATGTAGAAAAAAAAATTACTTTCATTTTTGTGAAGGAAACCTTAATTTTAAAATATTAGCAGTTTGCTCGATCTGCTAGACCCAAACAAGATGCAAAAGAAGGGAAAAGAAAGTGTTAAATATTAACAAAGGTAAGTGTGGAGAAAACATAAAAAGACAAGACTTTCTATACAAGCAAAATTAAAGAAGTGTAAAAGCCTGATAGAATAATAATTATAATACCTCTTAAGAATTTTAAGGAAATTTCTGTGTATACAGTTGATTCCAGAAAACGTCAGAATTATTGACTGCAGAATAAAGTTCATTTGTATGTAAAAATTAAGTTTGGAGAAAGAATAAAGTATATGTCTATTAGTATTTATTTATAAAGAAGCGTGTTTTAACCTTTAAAATGTTAAATCCCTTAGAGAGCTTGGTAAAACAGTCTGCTAGGCTTCTCCCTCCCTACCAAGAATTTTATATTCAGGAAAACTGATGTGGGTGACAAGTCGTCCTAGTTTTCCTGTGACTGAGGGATTTCTCAGTATATACTACCTTCAGTGCTAAAAAGATCCGGCATGCCAGAACAAGCTGGTTACTCTGGGTGGCACCTGGTAATTTATGTAGCGTGTTCCCTCGTAATAGTAAGGCAACTTGGTCCAGAGCCCACACTTAGAAACTGACAGGAAACAGTTAAAGCAAGATTTTCCAACTCTTAAAATTCTGCAGTGCTGAGAATATACAATTAATTATTAATATAAAATGTTAAAAAAATTTTGTGGAATTAATTTTTTTTCCTCTGGATCAAGCAATTTTAATATTATGATTAGAAATAATAAAATGGGCATTATATATTCTAAAGTTTGTTACTTAAGAAATAAGCAGAAGTAAATTACTTTCCTTTTTTAAAAAAAAAATTTTCTCCCTTTTTAAACTGGAAGGACATGAAATAAATTGGTCAAAATTACTGGGTCTAGCTGAAAAAATGCTAAATAAGAAAAATTTGCAGTGTTTAGTCTATCTGAGATGCCTTGGATATTTGAATTTTGTTTCAAAGTATCTATACTATTGTAACCAGAAGTCAAGTATCTTAGGGGAAAATTGAATAATTTCAGTATGTTTTAAAGTCATTTATTTGTAAATCTAATGCTGAAAAAATAAGAAAAAAATTAAACTGCATTCTGCTGTTCTTCTTTAGAAGCATTCCTGCGTAAATACTGCTGTAATACTGTCATGCAAAGTGTATCCTTTCTTGTTGTATCCTTTTTGGGGCAGTGTTTTTTGGTTTTTTCCTAAAGATATTTTTTCCCTTTCCTATCCACTGATCCAGATTAAGTAGTCATTTTTCTATACTTTTATTCAAGTGAACTATTTCTAAAATTATTTCTATAGCTTGAGCAGGTTTGTTGTTGAATTTTCTATGCTTTCATTTACGCGTTGTATAGTTTTGCCAAGGAAAGTTAGTGAATCAGGTCAACTTAGAGAATGTATGCATTTGTTTTAACAGAGAATGTGGTCTTTCTTCTATTTATGTATTTCCTAAATCTAATTCAGTAACATGCTTTTTATTTTATGATACACCTGGTTTAGGTGTTCTGTATAACATGCTCTCCAATTTGAATGGGAATTTTTTTTAATGTACATATATTGAAATAACTGGATTTCTGTATAAATGCCAAATAGGCGTAGCACACCTCACATATGAAGTCTTTGAAATCTTTTTTGACAGAGAGCAGTAGAAGTTTCTTCTCCCTGTTTCTTTTCCTAAACAAACAAAAAATAATAATAAGGAAAGAGAAAAAACATAATGTTGACTTAGGGTAGTTCAGTAAGTGAAAAGAAATGATCCTGGTAGAAATGTAAGAACATAGATTTCCAGACCAGTTGGTGTCCAAAATCCACTGGAACACAGTGGTTCTCAAATTTGGCTGCACATTGGAACACCGTGGGAACTTTAAAAAAAATTATATATTTATATTTATATATATGTGTATATATATATATACACATCTTTAAAAAGGGGGAAAAATAACCTTAAATATATATTGATATCTAGTTCCTTCCCTCCCACAGAGTTTAGATTTAATTGGTTTGGGGCGTACCATGGGCGTTGAAATTTTTCAAGCCTTTCTAATGTGCAGTCAAAGTGGAAAGCCACCAAAGAAGGGTTTTTATGCATAAAGATTCCTAGACTATGTGAAACAACACTGATGAATTAGAACCTCTGAGAATGAGGTCCAATAACCAAATTTGAAAAGGTTTCCTTAGTAATTTTAAGGACTGTCCTATTGGGATACTACTTTATTAGAGTAAATGGTTGGCCACCTATTACCACCTTTGTCATCCAACCTTTTATAAACAGGAAAATAAAGGGGTAGAATCTCTGCATCTCTTTGTGGGAAACTTTGCTATTATACATACTATGAAAACTACTCAAAATTTTGTTAAGAACCATTATAACCCTAAGAGTTCAAAAAGTTCATATATAACTGAAATTACAATTTTTTTGATATGCACAATTAAAATGCTTTGTTTTCTAATGTTATAAATCAGTTTCTGGGAAACATGTTTATTTGCATAAAAATTTTGTTGTACTGACATGATTCACTAATTTTCTAAGTAAAAATGTTTTAGCTTTTAGTTATTTTTGAACTAATAGATTATTTTATAATCATGATTATTTTTAATGTGCTTTTCTGATATTTTAGGTTCCTTTTGAATTCCATATCTTTCAAGTGCTTTCCAACTTTGATGAGAAGAAATTGACCATCTGGCTATGGAACTGTGCGTAACAGCTTTTGAAAGTATATTTAAAAATTAAATCTATATGCATTTAGATCAGATTATTGAAGATATATAATGTGTTTTAATGATTTCTCTCATATAATAAATTATTTTCTTTCCAATAAAATACTGCTTGTATTTTTAATTATGTTAGTTTATATATCTAGAAAAGTATAAATCATATGAATTTCTCACTAAGATAATTTAATAGTAAATTTTAAGTATTCTTTTATGATTATATATATTACCATTTTCATTCTTAACTTGATACAGTGCACTTTTTCTACAATAATCTTAATTCTTATAATTATTCTAGTAGGTTTCTTTGGTAGTGGGAAATTTGTTCCAGTTTAGGGATTTTGTACCCTTGTCTTGAGTTGAAATTTCATTTTTATACCCCTGAATCTCTTACCTACTAGAACATCATTCACCTGTGAAAATGTTTCCCATGTGGATTTATTCTATTCCCCTTAGTAAAATTAGTTCCGGGGATATATAAGTGGGAAAATTTGATTTCTTTTTTTTAAAGTTTACTTGTTCTACTTATAATCTGTGAGTATGTGATAACCTTCAAATTAGAGTCACTGCCAACAGATCTTCTGTAAAACTGTAAAAAAACAGGCATACAGATAATGTAATAGCAGTAGAGAAGAAGACATTATACAGGTCTATATGTTTGTAGTTTGGTAGATAGTACAAACATGAAAGTTTTGTTTTTTCTCAGTAAAATAGGAAGTGACATTATAGAGAACAGAGAGAGAGTCATGAATAATTGAGGAAAGGAAGAAGGTGGTTAAAATAACAAGGAAAATGGAAGGATAAATATACTCTTGGGATGACTGGCTAGGTAGTACCTAAAATACTTAAGTGTCTTTAAAGTTTCTGGTTGTTAATTTAAGTGAGATTAGTCAACATGTTTTGAGTTTTTCTCCAGTTAATTTCCGCATGGGTGCCATCTCTATGCATAGGCTCAGAGTTGAATTTGATGAAAATTGAGATTTTTAAAGGTAAATATGACAAATTTGGAGGAAAGCAAAAGTATTGATATTCAAGAGATTGATTATAATGAGTCACAATGAAAGTATTCTGGTTAAGGAGTAAAGTAAGAGAAAGTTGAGATGTGGTAGAAAATGGTATAGCCAATTGTAAATTGCAGTATAGTTGTAGATGTGTTAAAGTTTCTTACTAGTAGTAGGAACTAGAAATTTGGTTGTTTGAAATAAGAACAGGGTGACTAAAATTGAAAATATCAGTGCAGTGATTAATGACTGAAGTTCTAGGATGTGAAGATGGGAATAGGATGAGGCCAAATAATGGAAAGAGATGAATTTAAGAAATTAATAAGAAAAGTTTGAAAGTATTATGTAAGTGGATTTTGAAATTGTCAAGAATTATGACAAGAGCCAAGGAGTAAATTATCCTTAGAGCATATAAATGTCAAATATGTAAGAAACAATAATTTAAAAACTTTAAAACTCTTGAGTCCCTATCCTGCAATACTGACAGGGAATTAAATAATAAACTATTTGACTTTACTGAGATATAATGGTTTTATGAGGATGGGTTTTAAATTGAAATCTTGTATCTATGACTTGACTTTTAGCCTAACTTGACTTTTTTTCCTCATTTTCCATGGGGATAATAGTATCTACTTTAAGGTTGTAAAGACAATTTGGTGAACATAAATACTGAATACAAGTCTGATATATGCTATTCAAGTATTATGTTAGCTCTCATGGTAGTGGTTTTCAGCTGTATTAATTTCTTTAACATTTCTGATACAATAATTTTGGAAGGAAAAATGTATTAAGCTTACAATTCTGAAGGTCCAAGAATATGCCACTGACCTTTTAACTCTCAGGGTTCCAAGGTGTATGGCATCACAGAGGCAGGAGTGCATGGTGAGAAGAGATCACATAGTGAAACAGGAAAATCAAGAGAGTGGGAAGGGGCTAGTCTTGCTCTTTTGCAGGAACCCCTTTCTTGGGAATTAACTGGGTTCCCACAAGAACTATTAAATCTTGGCTGAGGGTGATGTCCCTAATGACCCCAGTCATTAGGGTTACTAGGCTGGTACAAGGTTCCACTTTTACAGTTTTCTCCATTTCAAAACTGCCACACTGAGGAACAAGCTGCCAACGTTTATACCCTTGGAGGACAAGCTGAAACTGCCATACTATAGTATCAGCTCATCTCATTTCTGAGTTGTGTGAATATTCTTAAGTGTTATAAAACCTCAGTCATTCTTCCATTTTAATTATCACTTAGATGCCCAACACTTCCACTGGTTTCTTGCCTCACTTGGAGGATGATGCTATTTAACAAATTTAGGAACTTAAATATTGAGGATTTAAGTATCATACAAATATACCCTACCTATTCTCACTTCATAAATAGAGCATATGGCCCAAGTGTCGAATTTGAAAGATTTCTAGAAATTGTTCAGAAACTTTTTTTCCCCTTCTGGATAGAAATAGACCTAGATGTGTTAACCATAATCCTGTCAGTAATCTAATGATAGTTCCTGGTCATTCCTGAGTCCAAAAAAGGAGTTATCATGGTATTGAGAAAGTACTGATAATATAATTTGAGCCTATTTAGTTCCCTGTTTCTTTTTCTTCTTACTAGAGGATTTGGCATGTAACTGGCAGTGTATAGGTCAAATACATTACAGCTGAGGGTGAAAAGTGAAATTTTATCTAAAGGAAATTTCATCTAAAGGAAGAAGCATCGTACTACAAAATCAAGTGGGAAACTAGGTATTAGGCAGCTGAAAACAAAAGTATTACTGCAATGTAAGATATGTAAAATTTATTCTTATGGTTTTCCATTTGTGCCTCCATCCAAGGCTGGACTAGTGTGAGGTGAATGTGACACCAAGGGTATAATATATAAGGAGGCAGTTTCTCTCAGAATGGCACAAATACCCTTCACCCAGTCCTATTCATGATTGTGCCTTTTGTATTGATAACATGAACAGAAACAGCATAATCAATCCTTATTAGGTAAATCACCAAAGGGCAATAGTTTTCAAGTTGCTGTTTTAGATTCTATTTAGAAAATACTGTTGTGCAAATGAGACTCCTTCAGAATCAAGTCCAAAATATTCTTTCAAAGAAGGAAAGGGAAGAAGTCAGTACCTGTGAAGCATTTAACACTCAAATGGTATTTTGCTTAATGGTGATAGTAGTTATTTTATCTTTATTCCACTTCCCTTTGTAGTAGAAAGTTCTTCATGTCTCATCTGTAAGAATAACATATACATTACATCAATTGTCTTTACTAATACATATAAAAATGGTAACTTCATTGGGATTATTCAGAAGAAATGAGAGCTAATCATATGTGTCAGTAACACAAAAGGTAGAACTGATGGTTCTTAAGGGAAATAGAGAATTTTCACTTCAAGTACTTTACTATATATCCTACCCTGAGATTTCATGCAAAGTAGAGAGGTACAGTATTCACATGAAAGTCATGAGGGTACAGGGAGCAAGACAATTTATAAGCTTTAAAGCAACATGGAAAGTGATAGGATATTGACAGAAATTTAAAATATTAATGATTAATATACAAAGACCTGAGAGGCAATTATATCTATTTTTAAAACGTATCAATTAAAAATGAGAAAAGGGGTATTTGACTTTAAAAGAACAATTCTAAAATAATTGTATCTTTTTAAAATTATGAGGGAGCACTTATGGTCCTTATGTGCTGAATGAAAAATCTAAAAATTCAAGAAGAAAATATGAGCAATTGTATGAAACTTTTCAGAGCTTAGAAAGATTGGTATACAAAATACTGCTTTACATTTTTCTTGGGAACATAAGTAAACATTACAAAAACGTTCATGGAATTCATAGTACCAACTGTGTGAGGTAATAGTTTCTTCTGTGGAAGGAAAAGATGAAAAAAATTCTATGGTTTGTGGACAACTGTGTGTGTGTGTGTGTGTGTGTGTGTATGTATATGTGTATTATGTTATTTAAAGATGTGTGTGTGTGTGTCTGTACATGTCTATTATATTACTTAAAGAAATTTTTGACAAAATATCAACTTCCATTAAATCTGAGTCATGGGAAATGGGGCCTCTTTTTTTTTTTTTTTTTTTTTTTTTAATAGCCTTTCTGTATATTAGTGTTTCACAACTTAAACAAAAATAAAATAATCAAATGCCTATAAACCAGTGTTTCTCAACCATTTTTTCCCCTATATTGGCTTTGCGCCCAGGGAACATGTTTTAGACTTTTTTTTTCAATCCTAATCACCTTCTGCAGTATTTTAAAGCCACACTATACTGTGTATCTGTTTATGTGTCCATATGGATACAGAGTAAGATTTTTCTCCCTTCCCTGCCCCTGGAACCAAATTATATACCACATTAAGACACATGATCCTGTTCAATAAAACATTTTAAAAATTAAGACCTTAAGAAATCATAGAGTGAATTCTGTAACCGTAGCTGATTTAAACTAGACATCAATAATAGAAAAAAAGTACATTGCTAATAACATGGGTTTAAATGGACTATTCAAGAGAAATTAGAAAATATTTGAATAACTGAGTAAAAATAAAAATACAATATCAAAATTTGTGAGATATAACTAAAGGAGTATTTAAAAAGAAAATCACAAGTTGATTTAATTTTTCTTTTTTTTTTTTTTTTTTGGTTGCAGGCATTGAACTCAGGGGCACTCACTGTAAGGCACATCCCCAGTCCTATTTTGTATTTTATTTATAGAGGCAGGGTCTCACTGAGTTTTTCTTAGTACCTCGCTTTTGCTGAGGCCGGCTTTGAACTTGTGATCCTGTGCTTCAGCCTCCTGAGCTGCTGGGATTACAGGCATGTGCTACCACGTCCAGCTCAGTTTTTCTTTTTAAGAAACTAAAAATGGAAGACTAAATTAAACCCCCAGAGCAAGTAGAAGGAAAAAAAAAAATTAAAACGAAACTTGAATCAGTAAACTTAAGCATGAAACAGAAAGAGAAAATAAATTGTGCAAATAATAGCTAATTCCAGTAAATGACCAGAGAAATTGAAATAGTTATTGCCAGGCTACCAAGAAAAGATGAATGACAAATGTCGAGAGTAAAAGGTTATCATTGATGAGGGCTATCATTAAATCCCCAAATTCTAAGAAGGTACAAATGGAATATTTTGAACAATTTATCTCCACAAATTTGATGAAAAGAACAATTTCATGAAGATCACAAACTGCTGCCTATTTAAAAAGTAGGTTATCTGAATCCTATATATGTTTAAGAAATTTACTTAGTAGATAAGTTTTCACATAAGGAAAACTCAATAGTTTTCCCATATTGTTTCACTGGTGAATTCTGCCAAACAATAAAGGAAGAAAGTACAGTACGAATCCAGCATATAAGACCATTCAAGAAAACTACAAATTACTACTTTTCATGAATATGAAAAAATCATTTTGTCAAGTGTGATTTATTTTGGGAAATACTGACTATTTGAGCCTTTGAAAATCATTGTAATCAAGTATAACAATAAAGAAAAAGCATGTGATCATCTTAATTAGTGAAGAAGAGATGGTATTTGACAAGATTAAATATCTACTTATAACAAAAACTCAGGAAACCAGGAATGATACAGACCCTTAAACTACCAGTGTCTATAGAACCTATCTTCATTTTGATGGTGAAATATTGAATAATGAAAGTCTTTCTCCTAAAGTTGTAAACAAGGAAAGGAGGTACAAACTCTAGATTCCTGTTCAGCCTCTCACTAGCAGTATGGCCAGTGAAATGAAAAAAGAAGAAAGTATAAAAATTAAGAATGAAATAAAGTTGTTCTTAGAGATGGCATGATTTGGATGTAGCAAATACCTAAAAATTAGCAAAATGGCTCCTACAAACAATAAGTGAGTTAAGGTGTATGTGAACAATCAATTGTACTGTATATTTTCAGTAAACAACCAGAAATTTAATTTCCTTTTCAATATTACTTCTCATGATGCCAAATCTAAGAAAGAATTGGGTGTATATCACTGAAATATGTGCTAGGCCTGAATGTTGGAAAATCCTTGCCAATTTTTTATGGAAAGATGTATACCCTAGCTGGGTAAGAAGATTTGTTAAGATGTCCACTCTTCCCCCACTTGGTTCATTCTCTTTAAAAAAATCCCTGCAGAATATTTTGTTGATGTTGCCAGGTTAACTCAGATTTGGTTGGTTTAAAGCAACAGAACTAGCAGAACCACCAGGTTTGAAAACACAGACAAAACCGGATGGCTTATATTACAAATCCAAAACTTATTTTAAAGATACTCAAGATAGTGTGGTATTGACAAAATAAAAGACACATAAATCATTGAAACAAAAGATCAGCAATGGGCTCACACACGGCCAATTAAATTTTGACAAAGGGAGAAACCAATTCAGTGGAGAAAAGATAGTTCTTTTCAATATTTAAGAGAAAAATCTAACACCTGTATGAAATAATAAGGAAGACCTCAACACATTTCTCTCACTTTAGGTCTATGGATCATAGACCTAAATGTAAAATGTAAACTCTGAAGTCCCTGTGACCATAGTTCAGCAAGGAATTCTTACATACAACACCAAATATTGGATCAGTTATTTTTAAATGACAAAAGATACAGAGGATTTCATCAAATAAAAATAGTTTGCTTTTCAAAAGACAATAAAATTTTAAAAAGCCAGAGCTTAGAGACTGGGGTTGTGAGGCGCTGGGTTTGATCCTCAGCATCATATATGAATAAATAGAAAGTAAAGGTATTGTATCCATCTACAAGTATATATATATGTGTGTGTGTGTGTGTGTGTGTGTTTATATATATATATATATATATAAAAACACACATATAACGTTTTTTTAAAAAGTCAGGGCCTGGGAGAAAATGTTTACAAACCATGTATTTGATGAAGATTATATCCAGAATATAAAAAGAAATCTCAAAACTAATAAGATATCTCACACACATCCTCAAAATGGTCAATGGGCTGGAACTGTGGCTCAGTGGTTGAGTGCTTGCCTAGCAAGTGTGAGGCACTGGATTCAATCCTTGGCACCACATAAAAATAAATAAAGGTATTTTTAAAAAATGGGCAATTAATTTGAACAGGCACTTCGCCCACGATTTACAAATGGCAAATAATTATGTGAAACATTACTCAACATCATTCGACTATAAATGAATGTAAAATATAGCTACAATAACACCAACACACTTAGAATAGCCTGAAAAATTCTAATAATAGCAAGAATTATCAAGAATGTAGTACAACTATAACTACATAGCTTGTAGTCATGCAAAATGGATAGATAGCCACATTGCAAAACACTTTGAGGGGCAGTTTCTTACAAAGTTAAACATCAATGTGACTCAATTAGAGAAGTATCCAAGAAAAGCTGCTCACACAAAAATGTGAGTGCAGTGCTTTTATTCATCTATTCATCTTTCACAATGGAAACCCAGGTATTTTTCAACTATTGTAGTACATCTGTATAAAGTACTGATGACTGCTATGTGAAACAATATGACTTTATCTTAAATACATCGTGCTAAGAAGCCAGAGTCAAAAAAGTTACATACTGTGACAACATTTTCATGAAATTTTGTAAAGGTAACTTGTATGACAGAGAAAATAACTGGTTGCCAAAAGTCAGATGTGAATGAGTAAGCTGAATGACTACAGAGGGTCAAGAGAATTTGGTGGCATAATAGAAACATTCTGATTGTGGTTATTGCTATTCACTGTATCTAAAACTTGTGGATCTGTATACATTGCACAAAGAATTTCACTCTATAGAAAAAATAAAACTGCATTTGATGAAAAGAAGTCCTGCCCCTTTATCACTGCTTGATATAAGTAGGATAGAACTTCTGTTAAAATTTAAGCTCTGATCCACTTTGTTATCTTTGGCATGAAATATGCTATTATTTAATATTAAACATGCTATTTTCACCTTTAAAACTATGAAAGAATTTCTTTTTTCAAGTGAATGAGTTCAAGGGTTTTTTAATTTAATTTATGATCAGTTTCAAATGTAAACAATGTCTTTAGCTTTGCTAAAGGAGATGGTATTCATTGATTTTTATTTCTATAAACCCACCAACCAATATTTAAAGTGTTTAATAGTGCATTACTCTATCTCTGTGTAGAAAGGAACATTTTACTATCTCTGGAGGCAGAATTGTAATTTAAAAACTAATTCTTGAGTTCAATAAGTTATCTCACCTTTCTGACTCTTGGCTTTCACATTTATAATTTGGGTATAATTAAACCAACCCAGCAGTATTGTTTAGGAGGCAAATACATGCCCACAGATATAAAAAGCGTCTGTTACTACTCCAGATACATATGAGGTGACCTCTATATTAAAATGTATGTATTTGTGTTTGTGACATATTTTACAAAGTACCTTCATACATAAAATCTTCATGCCATTCCTAAGAGATGGGCAGCCTTACATCCCCCTTTAGATTCAGCAAACATAAAGTTTGTCTAATACTAAGGAAAGGATTTAACAAAGAATCAAATTTCTTACTGTTGATCCAGTGCCTCAAAACAGATACGGCTTTTTTTTTTTTTTAAGAGAGAGAATTTTTTAATATTTATTTTTTAGTTTTCGGCAGTCACAACATATTTTCATGTGGTGCTGAGGGTCGAACCCAGCATTCTGCGCATGCCAGGCGAGCACATTACCGCTTGAGCCACATCCCCAGCCCACAGATAAGGCTTTTGAGAGCACTTTGTGCCAACCTAAGCTTTGTAAGGGTTCAATATCTTTGGCCTTGCATTCCTAAATTATCCTATTTTGAAACAGAACTGACAGATCTTACCTCAGATAGAGGTGTTTTACTTTTAAAAGAGGTGAGTAGTTAAGTGATAAGAAAAATATAGAAGTAATCTTTATGAGCTTCATAATCACTGCCCTAAAATATAATTGGTAAATATAATCACAGTATAAATGGGGCAAGACTTAATTGAAACAGTGACATTAAGCTTCTTTAAGTTACTGTGAATTTATAGTATTATTGATTAAATACTGATCATTACTAGTGTAATCAGAATTTAGACATCTCCTTTTGCTGTTAAGCAAATCTCTTAACATTGTAAAATTTTTAAATTTTGTATGTTTAATACTGATTCATTAAGAATCATGGCATAAGTTAGATTTTAATACACAAAATATAAAGCCTACAGAAATGTATTAAAAGCATCGTGGTATATGTAACAGCAAGATTTAGATTTGTCTAGACAACTTGGATTTGTCAAGTTTTTTTAATGTGCAGGAACACTTTGACAATGTAGTGTGAATTGATTAACTTTTCTCTAAAAGCCATAACACTAGACAAGATAAATATTATGTAATCAGATGTTAGACGTTTTTACTTTTTGCTTTTAAATCTCTTTATGTAAGACAGATTTTAATTATTTTTATATTGACTATTAAGGAATTATGGCATGGATAAGATTTTAATACCCAATTCAATGAAATTTGAATAAAGGTAATAAATTGAGAAATATTATCAATACAATGCTGCCATAACATAAAAGAACAGATACAGTTTGGATCTCTTGTCTAGAACTGCTCTCCAGGTTAACCTGCAGCCCTTCTGCCTCACACAGTGAAACTGTTTTGATGTGAAGACTATAAACTTATGGTGACTATACCCATAAATGTAGCAGATGCTTTAGGAAACATTTAGAAAACAGCCTTGTTAGTGCAGTATTATGATCCCAGTTGGGGGGAGTTGTGAAACAGCCATAAATTTGATTTAGTAGGAAGATCCTGGGAATAAGAGAACCAAAGTCTGAGATAAGGTTTGCAAACATTCTCAAGAAAATTGTTGTATTCCAATAGGATTGAAAGAGATCATTAGAAAGTAAACCCAAAGCAGACTTGAATACTCCTAGAACTTTGTGTTCTCCTCCCAAATACAGATGTTCAAATAAACAAATATGACATACTAACAATTGTTAACTAGCTCCAACTGGGTCCAGATAAAGATGATGAATATGTTCTAAGAATTAAAATAAACATTGTCTGAAGAATCAAATGAAATATGATGATAATGACTCAACACAGTAAATCTCAGCTAAGAAGTTGAAACAGTAAAAAAGAACCAAATAGAAAAATGACATCAGCAAGATGGCAAAATAGCTAAGTCCTAGGCCCTCACATGGTCCATACAGAAAATCAACAAAATACTTATGGGAGATACCTAGAAACTGGTTAAAAGGTCTGAGTCTCAAACAAGCACAAAACCAATTGCATAAAAGCTGTATAGGAAATTCAGTATTCTGTCCATTCACCAGAACCATACCACTCTTCCAATCCATGTGGGAGGCTTATTTAGGAGGAATCCTGCAACTTCCTGTTTCTCTATAGGAAGGAAAACCAGTAGAACATACAGCCAACTGAATTGGAGGAGGCTGCCTAAAGGACTTTTTTCTGTCTTGTCTGTATCCACTGAATGACAGAACAAATTACCAGGTGGGGGGTATTGAATAATTAGACTTAGAGGAAACACAGTTGAGTCTGCAAATCCTGGGGTAGACTGTAGATGGCTCACAAGGTCCATGATTTAAGGCAACATCAAGAAGAAAAGGAGAAAACTTCAAGGAGATTACATGCAAAAGCTCAGGAGGGACTCATACTCAGAACTATGGTTTGAGAGACACTGTAGCCAGACTATGAAATCTCTGTGAAACTAAATTGTAAAATATGGGTGTGTCAGCTGATTAATGAAATGACAAAAGAAGGAAAACAAAATGGAGAAAAGGAAATTATACAAAGAAACAGGTGATCAAGACACATTTAAAGGAACTAATTAAATTTCCATGAACCAAACACTAAAAATTGGATAAATAGACAAAGAATTAAAAATTACTGTCATAAGATGCACAATGAATTAAGAGAACTTGGTTAATAGTTAATTAAATAAAACAAAAATGCATGGACAAAACAAGAATACCAACAGAAGAGAGAGGAATTATGAGAGGGAGCCAAACAGATATTATGTAGCTGCAGAACACAATAAGTACTAAAACTCGAGAGGGACTCAATAGCAGACCTTACCAGACAAGAAGAGACTTGAAAGGACTTACGGTATACCATTAAATGGAACAGCATTCATATTATGGAACTCCAGTGGGAAGGTATGTGACAGAAAACCTATTTAAAGAACTAATAAGTGAAAATATCCCAAATATCAGAAAAGAGATGGGCATTCAAATTCAAGAAGCTCAAAGAACTCCAAAAGTATACATATAAAGAACCTACACTGAGACACATTATAAACAAACTGTCAAAATAGAATCTTAACATCAAAATAAAATTCCCATGTAAAAGGGAGCTGTTATATTACCACTAGATTTATTTTAGCAGAAACCTCACAGGCTGGATGATAGTGGGATTATAAATTCAATGTACCCATAAGAAAAATATTGTCACACCAAGAATAATATATCTAACAAAGCTGTCTTTCAAAAATGAATGAAAAATTCAGACTCTCCTATATAAACGAGATAAGAAAGTTCATCACAACTAGTTATGCTCTACAAGAAATATTCAAGAGTCTGATAAGTTGAAATGAAGAAGAACAAATAATGCAAAATCACACAAAAATGTAAAATCCCTGGTAAAGATACACATACAGAGAATACAGAAGCCTTTGGTATTATAATGTAAGTGAACAAATCACTTATAAATCTGGTATAACATTCTTTAAAGCATGAAACATGGTATAAACCAAATAGTGTTTTATATACAAATGAAATTAATTTTTATCAGTTAAAAATAGATTGTTATATCTTTACTTATTTTTATTTAGTATTTGTAGTACTGGGAATATAACCCAGGTCCTCATGACACCCCAAGCCCTTAGATTATTATAAGTGCAATGGTAACCATTGTAATATGCAAACTGGCAAATAAGAAATAAAACATGCCACTGCCAAAAAAAAAAAAAATCAGTGAAACACAAAGGAAGACCATTAGAGAGGAAAAGAGGAACAAAAATCCTATAAGACCAAAAAAAAAAAAAAATCAGTAATTTATTGAAATGAAAATGGGTTGCATGCACCAGCAAAAATACTTAGGCTAAATGGATAAAAAATAAGATACAATGATATGTTGCCTATTAGCAACTAACTTCATATCTAAAGTTAAAAATGAAAAGGTATAAAAAGATATTTCAGTTATATTAGAACCTAAAGATAGCACAGATGACCATACTTACACAAAATAGATTTTAGGACAAAAATTGTCACAAGACAGAAAAGAACATTGTATGATGATGAAAGGATCAATTTAAACAGAAGATAAATGGTTTAATATGCACCTAATATCAGAGCACCTAAATAAATGTATTTAGCAGACATTGATAGTACTCATGGGAAATATAAGAAAAAAATAATGGCAGGAGACTTCAATATTCCATTTTCCAGCAATGGATTGAAAAACAGTATTCATGAGGAAACAGAACTTGAACAACACACTAGAAAAATCAGATCTACCAGGCCTATATAGAATAGTTCATCCAACAATAGAACATACATTCTTCTCAAGCAACAATGGTATACTCTCCCAGATAGCCACATTAGATCATGAAATCAATCTTAACAAATTTAGGAAGATTTAAAATGTACAAAGCATCTTTTCTGACACCATAATGGAATATAAGCAAAAAATCATATCAGAAGAGAAACAAGAAACTCCACAAATATCTGGAAATTAATGATGCATTCTTAAACGACCAATGAGTCAAAGAGGAAATGACCAGGGAAATTATAAAATATTTGGAAAGAAAACCATAACAATTTATGGGATGCAGCAAAGCAGTTCTGAGAGAGGAGTTCATAGTGGTAAACACCTGTATCAAAAAGAAGAAAGATAGCAAATCAAGAACCTAAATTTATATCTTAAAAGAAGAACAAACTAAATACAAAATCAGGAAACAAAAGGAAAAATAAGAGTATGAGTAAATACTAGCAATATAAAAATCAATGAAATCAAGATTTTTTTTAATGATCAACAAAGTTGACAAGTACTTAGCTAGACTAACAAAAAAGAAGTTTTGAATGTCTAACTTAGAAATTACAAAGGAGACATTACAACTGAAGTTATAGGAATAAAAGGACTCATAACATTCCTTTGAGAATTGTATGCTGACAAATTGGTTGACCTAGAAGAAACGGAGAAATTCCTACAAAAGTATGATCTACCAAGAAGAAATCAAGAAGAAATAAAAATCTAAATACACCTATAACAAGTGAGGTTATTGAAGCAATAACAAATACCTCCCCACAAAACAAAGCCCAGGATCACAGCATTCACTGCAGAATTTTACTGAACACTTAAAAAGGAATTAACATCATTTTTTCCCTCTAATTCTTCCAAAGAAAGGAACAGGAGGAGACACATCCAAACTCATTCTGTGAGGCCAACGTTACCCTAATACCAAAATACCCAGCACAACAAAATTATAGAACAATATATCTGGTGAATGTTGATATCTAAATCTTTAACAAAATAATAGCAAACTAAATTGAAGAGCACATTTAAAGGACCATACATTATGGCCACCGATATTTATACATGAAATTTGGAATAATTCATCATATATAAATCAATGAATATGATATACCACATTAACAGAATGAAGAACAAAATAATATGATAATGCAGAAAAAGCATTTGATAAAATTCAACTTATCTTTATAATAAAAATACTCATCAAGAAAGGAAGAGAAAGTTTCTTGATATATTAAATTTCATATATGAAATGCCTGTAGTTAATATCATACTCAATGGGAAAGGCTGGATTTTTTTTCTAAGATTAGGAAGAAAACAAAGATGCCCCCTCTAACTACTATTTTTCAACATATAATTGGAACTTCTAGCCATATCAGTTAGACAAGAAAAAGAAATAAAAACATTCAAATTGAAAAGGGGAAGAATTTAAACAATTTCTGCTTACAGACAGCATGATCTTGTCCATAGAAAACTCTTAAGGTTTTATACACATAAAACCTGTTCTTATTAGGAATAATAAGTGAATTTGGCAAAGCTGCTGGATGAAATATCAGCAAATTCAGTTGCAGCAATAACCAAACAATAAAAGAAATATAAGAAATCTATTTATTTTGACATCAAAGAGAAGAAAATACTTAGGAATAAACTTAAGCAGATGAAAAAACATACATTAAACATATTGCTAAGCGAAATGAAAGGAATACAACAAATAAATGGAAATGCATCCTGTGTTCACGAATTGGAAGATATAAAATTGTTAAAATATTCATACTACTATAATGATCTAAATTCAATTCAATCTTTATGAAAATCCCAATAACATTTATACAGAAGTAGCAAGAATGTCTCAAAATTCTGTGGAATCTCAAAGAGTCATGAACAGCCAAAACTATCTTCAAGAGGAACTAAATTAGAGGGCTTACACTGCCTGACTTTTTTTTTTAGTATTTTTAGTTGTAGATGGACACATACCTTTACTTATTTATTTACTTTTATGTGGTGCTGAGGATTGAACGAAGTGCCTCACACCTGCCAGGCAATCTACCACTGAGCTACAACCTCAGCCCCAACACTGCCTGATTTTAAGTATACAACACAGAAAAAAAAATAGTTTAGGCATGTGCTACTGGATATGAAGAGAAATATACAGGCCAAAAGAACAGAACAGAAAGCCCAGAAATAAACCCCTGCACATATGGCCAAGTGATTATTAACAGAAATTCCTAGACTAAACATTTGTCTTCAACAAATAGCACTTGGAAAATAGAGTAGCCACGTGCAAAAAGAATGAGTTGGACCTTACACCACACACAAAAATTAATTCGAAATGGATTAAAGACCGAATGTGAGATCTGAAACTATTAAAACTGAAACTATTAAAATTCCAGAAGAGGGAACTTTCCAGAATGTTCAGTGAGAGGCGGAGGAGCAGCAGCTGCCTGGGCTGTACACAGTTAAGTGCTCCTTCCCACTCCTCCACAATGCCCCCAGCACGCTCATGGGCTGTAGAAAATGGTGAAAGAAACCACTTACTATGATGTTTTGGGGATCAAACCCAATGTCACCCAGGAAGAATTTTAAAAGGCTTAGAGAAAACTGGCCTTGAAGTACCACCCTGATAAGAATCCAAATGAAGGAGAAAAGTTTAAACAGATTTCTCAAGCTTATGAAGTTCTCTCTGATGCCAAAAAAAGGGAATTATATGACAAAGGAGGAGAACAGGCAATTAAGGAGGTTAGAGCAGGTGGTGGTTTTGGCTCCCCCATGGACATCTTTGATATGCTTTTTGGAGGAGGAGGAAGGATGCAGAGAGAAAGGAGAGGTAAAAATGTTGTGCACCATCTCTCAGTAACATTAGAAGACTTATATAATGATGCAACAAGAAAACTGGCTCTACAAAATAATGTGATTTGTGACAAATGTCAAGGCTGAGGTGGTAAGAAGGAGCATTAGAGTGCTGTTCCAACTGCTGAAGTACTGGAATGCAAATAAGAATTCATCAGATAGGACCTGGAATGGTTCAGCAAATTCAGTCTGTGTGTGTGGAGTGCTAGGGCCATGGGGAACGAATCAGTCCTAAAGATAGATGTAAAAGCTGCAATGGAAGGAAGATAGTTCGAGAGAAGATGATCCTGGAAGTTCATATTGACAAAGGCATGAAAGATGGACAGAAGATAACATTCCATGATGAAGGAGATCAGAAGCCAGGATTGGAACCAGGAGATATTATCATTGTGTTAGATCAGATGTGTTAGATCATCACCTCTCATCCAAGTCAGATTGTCAATCATGGTGATATAAAATATGTGCTAAATGAAGGTATGCCAATTTATTGTAGACCATGTGAAAAGGGTCGCCTAATCATCGAGTTTAAGGTAAACTTTCCTAAAAATGGCTTTCTCTCTCCTAACAAACTCTCTTTGCTAGAAAAACTCCTACCTGAGAGGAAGGAATTAGAAGAGACTGATGAAACAGATCAAGTAGAACTGGCGGACTTTGATCCAAATCAGGAATGATGGCACCATTATAATGGAGAAGCATATGATGATGATGAACATCATCCCAGAGGTGGTGTTCAGTGTCAAAGTTCTTAATGGGGCTAGTGAATAACACTCACTGCAGGCATATTATATGCAGTAGTGAATGCATGAAGGAATACAATCATAATATCTCACTACTTCCTATTGTTTTAATATTCAATTATAGTAGTGTTTTAAAAGTTAAATGAAGAAGAAATGCAAATATAAAAGCTCTTACTTTGCCCTGTATGTATGATGACTTCAGTGTGCAAGAAGTTGTGTAATACCTGTAAAAACTACTTTTAAAAATGTCCCCCTAGCATTTGTTAGGCCATACCTTATAATTGATTTCAGCTGTGTATGATGAAAAACTTAGACTGAAATACTAGGTATATGTGTTGATTTCAGTGTATGACCCTTTGTTGTTAAGCTATAAAATTAAAACTATATATTTAACTGACAAGAAACCTTATTTTGTAAAAGATTGTTGGTCTTTCTAGTTATTTGTATTAAGTGGGACTCTTGTAATGCCTCTTCCTATGTGGTTTTACATTATCTTTCCTCGAATATTCCTGCATTGCCTCAACCTACTTGAAGGTTGTATATGTATAATGTATAATTTCACTTCTGGTATCAGTGAAAGAAATGATAACTTTCGAAAGAAGAGGTTTATACTGAAAACATCATAATTAAATTGAAATATATAACAGATATCTATGAAATGTCCCTAACATTTGCAAACTTATTAACATACTTCTAAGTCATCTTTGCCTTCAAAAGGAAATCAAGAGAAATTAGAAAAAAATGGAGATAAATAATGACCTTATAATACATCAAAATCTGATATATCTTATCAAATTACAACACTTGACCTAGTCAGTCTTTTTAGTTTTAATCATGCCATTCTCACATGTATC